TGGTTCAGTAGAAAGCCACATTTTAAAATTTCTTAGCTCCTGGCAAAACTGTTTTTCAAGCTCTGCTATATTGAGATACCATTTCTGAGGATCATTAATAAATGCTTGCATATGCATTAACTTACATTATATCTACTGCATTGTGATAGTTTATATGTAGTGTCTGTTAAGTGTCACAGAAAACATTTTCTAAGTTACCTGCATAAGTATGCAGACACTGAGAAAGTGTCAGCTTTCCACATTTACTTTCTGGCATTTATTATGGATTCTTCTCACAATGTGGCAATATATAAAACATGCTGTTTAATTTTCATTGCTTTTGCAACAGCTGCAGTTGTAAAGATGATTGCCACAAAGCTACTCAGCTCTAATTTGCCTGCATATGATCATTTACATAATTCTTCCACACATTCAAATCCAAATACAGTATCATTCAGTCAAACAAATCTCCTTCGTGTCAGTGAATAAGCAAAGAGCCTTTGGATAAACAAAATTTATTCCAAATGATTAAAAATAAAATAGGCACCTAATAATAATATTAGGATGCTTCAGAAACATGTACATCTCTGTGCTTTGTTCATATTACAAAGATGTTTCATTTGACATGATGAACAAAATACGGGTGATATTGTAGTGTTGTGAAGATATTCACAAGCAAAAGTCTTGATTCTTCCTAGCTTCGTATTTTCCTGCTATCAAAAGTGATAGATTCCAGTAAAATTGCATGATTTTCAGCACTAGAAATGGGAGAATAATTAGGGTTTTTTAGCCAGTATGTTGGTAGAAGTTTTACTTCATTTTCCTAACATAAAGCTTTTATAAAACAAGAATCTGCATCTTGTCACCACCAGTAGCTCATAATCTTAGAGTCCTATTTCAAAGGTTCATCTAGCTGATGCTAGCAGATAATTTTCTGGTGGTTCTAAAGCTTCTGAAACATTATGTGTTAACTGTTGCCCTTAATTTTGAATTGTCCATTTTGTGGTAGTTCAACATGAGGTGACTTAATACTATTTTTATTCTAAAAAAAGACTTTTTATAAAACTAATCTGTTCCAGATGAGACTGGGTTTGAGTACTTACTCCTGTGTATGGGATGCTTTCCTACTCAATATTCCTGGAAGTAGGAGAGTCACATCTGCTGGTTTTCTTTTGGCTTTCAGAAGCTGCTTTCATGAATGAATGTTTGTGTTTAGTTCACTTAATATCCTTTACTAAATGAGTCAGTGAAGCACATGTGGGTAAAGTTTAGCATTTATGCTGTTCACATTTGTCTACTTTACAGTCAGAGGAACTGGCAACGATATGACAAATTGCTTGTATCATCCTCCAGGTTTAGCTGGCCCATTTTACAAGACCCATTGAATGGTTTTTGTTTCCTGTTTTAATGCTTTTTTATTGATCACTTTTATATTCTTTTCTGTAAGTAAACAAACTTGATCCACGGTACTGCCATGATTTTGCTTTGGTGCTGACATTATGCTACATGTCTTATGTGAAGTAGGTCTAAAGCCAGGATTGATAGGAAAGAGAGAGAAGAACAATAACAAATGCATCTCCAGCTCCATAATGACTTTCTGATGTGGGAAAACTACTCTTCCATACCAAGGAGCTCTTTTGATCTCCTTTACTCCTTTCGAAGAAATCCCTTCGTAGGAGGCAAACTCACCTTGCTGTGAAATATATATACATATGTTATTGTTTATAGTCCCAAATCGTCATATGAGGTCTCTTTCTGCTCTTCTTTTATTAGGGCCAAAGCACAACGTGTTTAGGAGTTTGAATGTGAACTCGTTCTGGGTCAGAATGAGTCATTGCTAGGTAAGAACTCATTTAACAAGGTTAAGAGACTTTTCAGCTTCACTACTCCGTTTACAGGGTTTGGTTTTCAAATTCCTTCCCCCATCCAGGATGAAAGGTGAAATGTAACATTCAGCCTGACTTCTTTCTTGAGGAAACTAAACCAGGAGAAAAGCCTAAAGCCATAGTCCTGTGTGCAGTACTGTTCATATTTCAATCACAGCATGGTATAGTCTTGTTGAATTCATACACCTAAAGGCAAACTTTAATTAACTTCAAATGCTTCAACTGAATAGAGCAATTTAAATTAGGGTGTGATTAATAAACAGCTATTTACAGAGTGTGCAAAGTGAAGAAGTGAAAGCTTGTCAGGCTCTCAGAATAGCCAGATGTGGTCTTAGGTAGATGGTAGGTTAAGAGCTGTTTGAGGCTGCTAGGATACCAGGGTCCATTTTTAAAATTTTGTTAATGTGTACTCATTGTAATTTGTGCTGTTTAAGCCATCAGGAAGATAGAAGTATGAATGATAATGAATGTTTAAGGCTTACAGGATCATAAAATGCTAATTATTAAGCTTTACTCAGAAATGGAAAAATAGACAATAGGCTTATAAAAGGTGCACCAAATACTGAAATGGAAAATCATTATGTCTCTCCATTCTTTAAAAGTAAGTCATCACATAAACATTCATCCCACTTGCTCACAGACAGGCTCATTCCAACAGTAAATAAACTGACTTTTAGTGTCAGTCAATTTTCCCTTCTAAAACTGGGTGCAGACACTTAAGGGGCTGGTTGTGTGCTTGTATGTACCTCTGTCTGCATGTGGGGGTGTTTCTGCCTTTGTGGCCACACCCTTTTCAGCTATGTCTGCTTGACCTGCTAAACAAAACCACTCCACGAAACATCTTGCATCTCATGTTGATCAGGCTGGCTTCCTAAATTAGGTAAGTCACCCGGGGTCTTCTTGCTTGAATCAGTGTCTGGCCACGTGATTGTACCTGGAATCATTAGGAAACTCTTCTTTTCTCTAGGAAACCTGCAATAAGTAAAGCTGCAACTTTCTTCCTGAGACATTTCAGGGCTAGCAAAAAGATAATGTACTTCTAGGGAAAAAAATGTGCCTGTAGAGATGAGATAACTGACAAAAATATTTCTGCCTTCATATAAAGAGCTGACACCTAGAAAATATTTTGCATTATTTTTACAGCAACATTTGTCTTTCCTCTGGTACTATGATGTCTCAATGTGAAAGTTCAGCATGTGGATGTATGAGGAGAGTGGTGGGGTGGGAGGATGGGATGGGTTTCCCCTCGGTTTACTGTTTGGTGAAACCAGGAACTTCCACAGATGGATTCCAGGGTTTAAATTTGCTTTAGTGAGAGAAAAGGGGAAGGTGGAGGAAAGGGATAACTAGCTGGGGCATGTGAGCTGAATCTGTCTGTCTGCTGCACTCAGGACTCGGGTTTATTTCAAAAACTTCAGAAGGAATGAAGTCAGCTTGTAAAAGTTGAAGAAATCTAATTGGAGTACTTCAGTAGGTAGGAGAAAACTATGTGATCACATTTATTTGTGCTGAGAGAGATGGAATTTAAGTTGTCACGAGAAAGTTTATATTCCTTTTCTTAGTATATACAAATGGAAGAGGGAAAATATCCCCAAATCAGGGTGTTGCAGGAAGATGCTGTATGCAACATGGTTATAGACTATAGGTGTAAAAGAGATGTTGCTTCAAAATCTTCGTTCTTTTGACAGTGTGCTTAAGAAGTGTATTAATATTTGATGGTGCATTTTGTTCTTGCAGCAAAAATCTACAGAATTACTTTTTTACCTGCCTAAAACATTGAAGCAGCTGAAGATAAAATTGGTACAGTAGTTGATTAAAAAAGAAAAACAAAATATAGTGGCAAGTAATCTTTGTAAAGCAATTAAAGAACTCAGGAATACTGTTGATCTTATTCTTCCTTTGAGATTTATATACATATTGCTGGATCTCTGGGAACAAATAAGGAAAAATGCTGGCGGTAAAATGAACTTTAAAATATGTGTGTATTTCTTAGGACTTTCAATAACTTTCATACTGTTGTCTCCTAAAATAAAATTCAAGTGGAAAGATGTCTTAGATTTTTGAGAATTGCCATCTTAGCACCTTACATAGATTATACTTATATATATTTATATAAACAACTATAGGTATGCATATTTAAGTACCTTATGCTCGAACCTTGTATATTCAGTTTTACCTTCAAATAAGTTTTAGAATTAAGATATTACTAGTGTAATATGAAGAATTGGGAATGCTGTGTAACAGTGCATGTTTCTAAGTGAGTTTATTTAGGCTTTTGCCCATAATATCTATGAACTGCATGACACAAATTTTCCATTAAATTACTTCTTTCGCTTTACATTAGCAAATAATGAAGAATGCACATAGAAAGCCTAAAGTACTTCTGTTTATGCAGCTTGGTTTTTTATGCAGCTTGTAATTCATGATTGGAATTTCCTATGTGAAGGTAAGGCAAAATAAATAAATGGTACAAATAGGAATATTAGTGTGCAGCCTTTTTAAATTGCAATGTTCCTGTGTATTTAAAGAAGCTGCCTGATCTCAGTTGGGGCTAATGAAGGATAAAACAAAGGGCAAGTAAGAAATATGTTCCCATCTGCACTCACTGTTTAGGAAGAGTGAGAGAGATTTTGCTAGTGTAGGGTATATGACCCGATGAGCAGGGAATGTTCTTGAGTCATGAGGCTGGAAGAAGCTAAAAGAGGAAAATAGACTGACAGCTGTTAGGAAGTATGGAAATAGTTGCATAACTGAACAGTCACTGATTATTTTGTATACTATAATAGTAAGATCTAGATTTTGGTATGAAATTTCAATGTTTACATAATTGAGGGAAGTCTAGCCCCTTGCTAAAACTCCAGCTGCATTTTGCTTAACTGACTGTGGGCAGCCACACGGAAGCTTGGTCGTATTGATACCATTGAGATTTTCACAAAATGAATATTTCTAGAGCGAAACACTAATTAGAGGCTTTGTAAATACTGACAGCATTTTACTTATCTGCCCTTGAATATGTACATATCTAGCTGGGTCTGTAGATCTGTGTGCAATTTATTAAAACCAAAGAGTTCAAGATGTGAATGCTACTGTGGCACAATAACTGTGTTATCAAAATAGGTATTGTGTAATACGGTAATGGAAGTTAGTAAGCTTTTTTTTTTTTTGCATACCATTAAAATATTTAATTGTCCCTCAGTAAAAAGTTTTAGCTTAATAAGGTCTAAAACAGAGGCCCATGTAATGAGGCATAGTAGTGAAAATAGATAACTGGGGATCAAATCTCTATCAAAGTGATCAAGGAGAGCTCTTAAGAGAGTCATTAATTCTCAGTAATATATACAGAAAAATTAATTAAATCCCAGAAAAATTTAATCATGAAGAGGCATATAAGATGCTTACAAAAGGTTTTTATCTGCTGTGTTTTCATGCATGACAAACTGCAGTTTCCCTTATGTTAGAGGTGCTTATTAAAGAAAACTGTGATGCGCAGAGGCATGAGAAAGTTTCTTCAATGCACCAACCCCAACATTTTGTTTTTGTTAAGGACCACATAATACTTGGAACCTCTTTTGTTGCATAGGGACCTCAGTTAGACCTAGAATCTCTGTGTTACTGCAGTGCTAATAATAGTAAAGATTGCCCATATCTGATAAATATCTTGAAATATAGGAAATGTGGCTTCATTCTCCCCACAGGAAAAGGTTCCAAAGAACACTTCAAGAGCTACAATGGAGCTTGGTGTGGTGATACTTGGAAATGAAGTTTTGCTCTTGCCTGAGGGTAGAATATAGATTCAAGCAGATGATTTCTATTCATTCCTTTCTGTTATTTACAAGACCTAGGATAATATTGCACACACTGTTACTGTAAGAACCTGGAACTGAACCCTACGCTGTAATGTTAGACTAGCTGTAGCCTTTCTACTGAATTGTCTTTGCAGATCTGAGATACAGTATAAGATAATGAGTTGTTAACAGTGCCATTAAGTTTATGTGTGTCCTAGAACTGGAAGTTATCCATAACTAGTTTGTTCTCATTTGTTTACTGTACTTAAACGCAACATGGCTTAATTTTGTACTTTCCAGCTGAGAGATTTTGATTCCCATTTCCTACAGCATTGGGCTTTGTCAGTTTTATATGGCAAGTGTTTTTATTACTGCCCAACTGGCATATTTTTTTGATTTGTAAATGAATGCTTGTTCTTACCTATGTGTATTGTGTACAGATGCCATTACCAAATTTTCCTTTTAAATTGATGTGTGGGTAGGGAATTTCAAGGCTAGAAGGGAATCTTAGAGGCATAACTACCATTAATCTTACACTGTGAATATCTTGCTTTTAGTTGAATTTTAGATCATGGTAAATATAGCTGTTTGAATCAGAACAAAGCATGTTTGTGAAAGCAGAGCAGTAAACAGTTCATTTTGGTTATATACTCTACATCAGTGTCAAAGTCTTAACAGCTTTGTGTTCAAAGCCTGCATGTTAAAAGCTAAGGGGAAAAAATATGAATTTAAAGTGCTACTTTAAATTGCATACAGTTAGAAAGCCTCCATGTTGTCAATAAAATGCACTTACCCAATTCCTCCACAATTAGAAACCTTTTTTTTGAGGAAATTATGCTCTGTATTTCTCACTGTCTTTGGTTTTGATTTTTTTTTTTCTAGGAAGGTTTTCAAAATGGATGGCTGGAAACCTCTTCTTCTTCTTCTCTGTGTTTCCACCTGCTCTATAGATGCACAGGAGACTGGTAATACATTAAAGAAATGATTCTTCAAGTTGATAACAAAATTGTTTTTTTACATTTATGCCCAGTGTCAGAGAGATGTGATGAATTGATGAAAATGTATTCTAACTAGGGATAATGTGCTGTGCTTTTATGAAACTTATATTTGTAAGTTTCTATAATAGGAGAGTTGTCATAAAAAATGCAAAATTAAATGCAACAGCTCATTAAAATCTGGTTTTGTTTGTGAATGCTGAGATTTCATATTTTCCAAAGCAACAAAAAACCTTTAGCAGTATGACTGCTAAAAGCACGATAAGTCACAGGATTTAGCAGTTCCATTTTGGTAGTCGGGTCTTCTGGAAGATCTGTTTGAGAAAGTGTTCTGTCCAGTTGCAGGACGTTTTCTGCATGACTGTTGGTTTGAGGAAATAATAAGTGTTTCATCCGTGCTGTACTAATGTCATATGCTTCTGGAAGGTGTGGAAACACATGAATTTAATATTCGCTACAAGGAAATGTGGTTAGTACTCTTCAAATTGATGTGACCTTATTTTTTGCCCCTCAGAAAACAAATATTTATTAGTAATGTATGTGTGCACAATGGAGTTCAAAGTGCATGAGTAAGGTTTCTTTTGCTCACTTGACAGCAGGCAAACACATTCTTATGGTTGTGTTTCATATAAAGAAGTGTGTAATATGCATTTACTACAGACAAGTTCTGAGCAGGCTGTGAATGGAAATTGTGTTGTGGATTTCAGCATCTCTCCTTTTCCTGAGAATGGTGTTGCAGAAGGACGTGGTTTCTGACCCTCTGTATGATAAACAGAGGAAAATAAGGAAGTAGTGGTTGCTGAGAATTTAGTTGAAAAGGTTTTTTTGTAAAAGGCCAATAGATCTTGGATTCTGAAAAGCAATTAGGATTCAAAATTACTCTTCTATTAGATTACACAACCTTTAGGAGAAGAGCAAAGTAACGACATACTTCTTCAGTGTGTAAAAAAGCTTCTGTGATGGACAACATCTTCCTGGTGGATGAATTCTGGACTGCAGGGATAAAGAACTTCAAGATCATTCAAGATATCTTTTACACAATGGTCAATGGCTTTGATATTGGGCAAGACAAAATCTATGTTGGTATAATTCAGTACAGTGATGTGACATACACTGAATTCTTGTTGAATATTTTCTGTAACAAGAATGATTCCTTATAGAAGATACAGAAATTATGTTACAAAGAAGGAGGCACCAAAACTGGGCAGACCCTCCATTTTATGCTAGAGAATCACTTTGTAGCGAGTGTTGATAGCCAAAAGGATAAAGGGGTTCCTCAAATTTATCTGGTGATTACAAAAAAAGAGGCTGAAAATAATATTCAAAACCCAGCCACAGCATTCAAAGATGCTGGCATCATGTACACCACAGGTCCGAAAGGATCTGCTCTGTCTAGAAATAGCTAGTGAGCCAGCTGATAAGCATGCCTATGAAGTGGAAGATACTGCTTCTCTGCAAGGACTCTCTCACAGTAAATCTGCAGATGCTTTGTACTGTGTTAGAGGAGATAACTGGAACAGCCACCCAGGTTGCCCATGGTATGACCTGAAAGAGCTGTTGTCTTTCCAGGTTTATTTTTCTCTATCCATAGACTAAGTACATGAAATTGCAGTGTGTTGCCAAAATACAGGGTTTAGCTTCTTGCATCTTCAATATGTTGCTAACTAGCTTTCAATAATATCAAGTCGTAACTGGTAAAATTTGAGTGCCTGTTTACCATTAAAATATTCAAAATAGTGGTGGGAGGGGAGAAGGTGAGGTGAGGAGGGGAAAGGCAGAAACAGGCAACACAGTTGCAATTTATTTCATGAATAATAAAATGTACACTCAGTTCTTCCTTGCTCCTGAACAAAGCCAGAGAAGGAGCTATAGTAATTAATTCTTCTATCTACCTTTTCTTGGGCAGTTAGCAGGAAAACCTAACTAGATGTTGTCTCTTTAGTGGATACCTCAATGACTATTGATAAGGAAAACTTTAACAAGGTGAACTCCTCCTCTTCACCTTGGTTTCAAGTTTTGATGTTGGCCTTGGTGCAAGGCCAAGTTGGACTGGGACAGTACAGTGATGAGACTTAACAAGAACTCTTGCTGAATCAATATTTGAAAAGTGGTGTTTTGGAGCAGATTGATAATTTACTGTAGAGGAGTGGAAAAACTTACGTAGGGAAAACTCTGGGTTTTTTAAACCAGTGTATTTCACTCAGCCTACAGAAAGCAAGGCTAAGGGCTTTGTTACACAGTTAGTGATTCTAATCATTGGTGGAGAATCCAGTCGTGAAGTTGAATTGCCTGTCAGGAAACTGAGGAACATCAGAGGCATTCCCCTCTATGTTGTTGGAACTGGTGTGCAGGATACAGCTAATCTTCAGCAAAGAGCCAGCAAACCTTTTGGTAGGTATCTGTGTAGTGCTGGTAGTTTTGATGAACTTCCAGATCTCTCCACAAGACTTTGGGGAAGCTTCTGCTTTGGTGCTGGTTTTGCTGTCATTTACATCAGTGTTCTTGTCATGTAACATGACTGAAAACAATAGGGCTAATTTTGAGTTAGGTTGCAGTTCAGGCTGACCTCCCTTTTTATCACATTTCAATGTCTGCACTGAATTCAGAGAGGTTTAACTGGTAAAATAGGAAGGTAAACTTGTGCTCAGTTCTCTCTGAAGCTGAGCCTTAATGTATTGTAAAGAAAATCAGGGTCATATTCACAGATTCTGTGGTGTATATTTGGTTCCTCATTCAATGTGTTTCTTTTAGAGTGATGCAGGGGAAAGGAAAAAAGAAAAATTCCCCCTTGTTTTTTTTGGAACAATTCATCTCAGAGCTGGTGGAGTCATTTTTAGAAAATGGATGTAATTGAACAGTTGAACAGGGAATTTTTTCTTGATTAAGCTATGGTTTTGGTAACTTTTAATTCCTTCAAAAAACTAGTTCATAAATTGCACATTCTAGGAGTTACAAAAATGAAGGGAAGTCATATTTTCCTGTTCAATACATTTGCTGAACAGCAAAATTTGCAGAACATGTATTTTCCCTGTTTCTTTAAGGACTGTTATTGTTGAATGGTGAAAGGGGGAGTGATATAAAAAGAGGTGAGAAATAAAAACTAAAATCAGAACAAAAAAATGGTGTTCAAAATAATAATGAATGTTTAAAAGGTAACATAGTTACAATTTTAAATTTTTACCTTTTTTCCTGATTTTGCAGAGTTCAATGTGGGTACCTCCACTAGTTTTATCTCAATGAAAAGGAAAAGTTAGGGGTTAGATGCTGTATTAGTTGGTCACCTTTTTGCCACTGCTTTTACTCTAAGTTTGCAGCAGTCTTGTGGCAGATCTTGTATTCCTGATGAAAGGATCAGAAAGCATATAAAAAACTTTTCTGTCACAAAGACCTTCGTGATGGAAGTTGTGGACAACTTTGTTATTTCTAGGGACAGAGTAGTTGTTGGAGTAGTCCAGCACAGCCCAGAGCCCCACAAAGAATTTCCTTTTAATGAGTTCTACAGTGACACCACGATAAAGGAACGATCAACAGAATAAAGCAATTGCAGTCTGCTGTGGTTTATGGCAAAGGCCTGAGGCTTGTCCAGAGCCTTTTTCAGTGACTACTCTGCTGACAGGGTAGAGGATGCAGCAATGGCTTTGAGTAGCAATGAGATCCATGTCTTTGAAGTTGGCACAGGGATTATAAATTCCCTTTGAGCTGCTTTTAATAGCTGATGATGCAAGGGGAATGTTCACAGTGGAAAGCCTTGATGCACTGAAACCCATCGAAAGGAATATTGTCGATTGGGTCTGTCAATCCAAACATCTCCCTGGCCAGGGTGAGTAAAAAACATTTCGTTGGGTGTATAATGGCTTTGTGCAGTCCCTGATAAAAGTATCTCAGCTGGATGGACAGCAATCCAACTGTTTAACCAAAGAATACTTCCCATGTTACTCCGTTTGCAACTCACAACTTGCACCTTGCTTCAGTCAAGAGCCACTACACTCTTTGCTGTGGTAAATAGCTTCTGAGGTAAGACAGTACTTCACATCTAGCTTTCATATTCATAGCTGCTCAGTGTCTGAGAGGAGCCAAAGCAGACATCCCCAGTGAGTATCTTAATCAAAAGAGGGTAACAGACAATTAATTCAGTGATATTTAAAGAAGAGCCTTTCAGGAAACTAACTTTGTCATCTACAGCTGACCATACTGCTTCATTGGGACTGTCAGCAGCAACTGTTGACAAAACTGAAGTCTCGCAGAGGCTCTATGGAGAGGGGGCGTGAGGAAATCCATCCTTGGATATGTGGGAGGTATTGGCAAGATGTGAACAGCAAACCCACAGTAATGCTGAGATGCTACCCAAAAGCTTTTCCTAGATAAGAAACAGAAAGTGGTATTTCCTACTACATCTTCTTGATGGCAAGAATGGCTTGGCTGCCACACAGCCTGAGAGGCTGCCACCCCCAAGGAAAATAAAGGTTCAGTATTGCCTTTGATTAAAATAACAACTTCTATCAGATGTCAGATGCTGGTTTTTTATCTGAGTTTATTCTGACATAGTACTGCAGTATCAGTCGCCTTGTCATGTGGGAAGACTGAAGTAGGGAACATAGGCAGTAGCTCTTTAACATTACATATTCATGCCAGTTATGTAGTTAGATAACACTGTAGATGCATTTAAGTAGCAAAAAGAAAAATGGAGTGAATGACAAATCAAAAAGCTGGTCTCTTCCTCTACTGATGGTGAGGGGAACCTGCTGTGGTGTAAGTGCATGGCATTGATTGGACATAGCAGGAAGAGACTTCTGGAGTGTTTTTTCTCTCTGTACTCGTGCTTACAAGGACTGTGACTGTCTTTTAAAGTTCCTTGTCTTCCCTGTGTTTTCACTATGTAGGTGATATTTTACATGTGTTGGATGTGTGCTTTTCATTCTCTGTTATGCCATAAAGCTGATCCAACTCAGTTCTCCAGGTTTCATTCCCCTAGTGACCAGAAACTTACTGTGAGAAAGGAACGCTGGGATGACCACTCTGCTTGTCTAAGGCTTTTTGTAAGAACAGCTGAGCCTCTCCTGTACCCTGAGCTAGTAAGATCTTAAACATTCCAAAACTGGCTAGTGTTTGCTGGGGTGCTGGGGGGCCAAAATGAAAAGTTGAGCCTTCCCTCCTAAAGACAGAAGTGACTCTGTGTGAATTATGTCTGCTCAGGTGGTTTGCAGAGAGGAGGACAGCCAGGCCTGATTCATTATGAGCTCTGCACCCCCACCCACCCTTCTTCCCATCAAGAGCTGAGCAGACCCCCAGATGGAAAGGCATCCCTCATCTCCTGAAAGTAGAGAGAGGGAGAGATCTACTGTGGAAATAGAGTGCACTACCATGAAACAGCCTGACCGTGGCTGATGCAGGAGCACCTCCTGGTGTTTCATGGCAAGAGAACAGGGAGATTTAATGGCAGATACAGTAGTAAAGTTTATATATATATACAGGCACACTTGTTTAGAGAGAGAGAAGTTAAGAACAGCATATTGGCTTTGATCTCAGTTATGCGTTTATTTATTACTAAGTTCTGCATAAATTTGTCTCATAGAACAAAGATCAACTTTCTGTGAAGACTGTTTTTTCTTGTACTCTCATCTGTATTCTTATATTCACTGACCTTCTTGCCTGAAATAAAACTATTAAGTCTCCATTCTCCAGTCACCTTCCCATAAAATAACAGATTTTTCAATTTAAAAAAAACACATTTGAGGTACAGCATGTCAACAGGGGAAAAAGATACCTTTGCAACAGTAAGACGGAGAAGTTTAACAATGTGGATGTCTGTAGGAGAACAGGTGATTAGAAAAAGAGGTTGGCGACACAGAGGTGTTTACTCCTGAAAACAAATGGAGATTATCAAGAGAGTATATATTACATACCAGAAGCTGTTTTACACATTCTCATCCACAACACAGTAGCACAAGAAGTGAATGCTTTACTGCTGTTTTATTGTTATTGCTGGTACACTGGGGACTTGACAGAGAATGTTTTAAGAGCTAAGCAGTGTGGATTACCAATTGTCAGGGCAAAACTGCTGCGTCCGTGGTTGCCCTGCACACTGCCTCCAAACTATGTCATTAGAAAGACCCAGGTTTTAGAAGAATCTCATTTTGAAAACATACTCATTGTGTCCTGGACATGAACACATACCGAAAGAAATATCCATTAAATATTATGTTCATGAACGTGTGTAGATATGTGTGCATGTATAGATATATTTAACTGTTTGTCTTGTTTTGGACTAAACAGATGAGGTATAGATTTTTGATGTTGCTCTGAGGCCTGAATGTCAGATATTTTAGCCATAAAGACTCATTCAGTGTGACCTTTTGCATTTAAAAATTCTCATGCTGCTTTCCAGCAGATCATGCCCTCTAGGGGGCACTTTGTACCACAGGTGAGCATGCTGAAATGTAACGATGGTCACTTTGAGGTGAAATTATTTCTAGATGTATTTGGTTAAAGAACTGAACACATTCATCTTTTTCATGAGAGAGGGAAAACTCAGAAAACTTGGAATAATGGTCTGTAGGAACTAGCCCAGACTAGCAAACCAATATTGAAAACAACCTTGTGATTGCTAAGTGTTTCAGAGGCAATGAGTGAAGAAGGAAAAAAATTAGGTAGAGTGCTGTTTTACAGCTAAAATTGCTTGCCTCTGACTTCCTTGCAGAAGTACGACAATGAATATTAATGCATCTAGGAGCACAGCAGAAAAAACAACATGAGAAATGAATAATCAAGAAGAAAAAAGCCATGTAGTTTAGCTGTTTAATGAGGGCAAGATGACTGGGGAGAGGGAAGGAATTAACCACATCACAGTATTTGCTGTTATTATAAGGAGCTATACAAGCAATTCCTCACCTTACAGCAGCTGTTTTTCACAGTGGTTATATAACATTGCATGTAGGCAATGCTGCCTCTTTCTCTCATGTTTCTTTGGCCTGTTGTTCTACATTTGTATGTATCACCTGCTCTTGTGACAAAGTGACAGACCACAGTCAGCCATCAAGCTTCCTATTGCAATTGGAATATATGTTGCATGTTCTCGGTAGCAAAGCTCACAGGAACATTTTCAAGATTAGGCCTTTTGATGACATTTGACAGAACAATGACATGTTTTGCAGTTTGGGTGTGTGCAGACATCCAGTAATATGGTTCTTACTATTTTCAAGTTCACGTGGTCCCACTGAAACCTGTGGGATGATGGTATTTTATGTTTATGGAAAACCAATCTCACTGATTCTGACTTCTGGTTTTAAATCTACCATATTGAATTTTGTTCCACTGCCATGATTCTGGCAAAAAAAACCCAAGATCACAAATAGCGTATGTTTGTAGTTTTGTGTTTCTTATATATTTTTTTTTCAGATTGCAACATAGATCTTTCTATAGCAGTTGATGCTTCAAGGCGCATGCAACCAGAACCCACAGTGCTCCTGAAACAGAGATTGCAAGCATTCCTCCCCAGACTTTTACTCCAGATGAAATCATTACCAAACACCAGCTGTAAAGCTCCAGTCAACATTAGATTCAAGTTCCAAGTATTGGCACAGACCAACCAATTAATCTTTGACTCTGGTTTTGAAGACTATAATGAAGAGATCATCCAGAACTTCTTAGATGCACAGGCCACTGTGGATACCTACCTGAATACAGATTTCTTGCAGGCACTTGAGGAGAAGTTCTTTAATGTGACCTCTGCTGAAGTTAAGGTAACTTAATGGTATGAACATATATCTTGGAAAGAAGTTACACAGTTTGATGTTTACAGTTCCTGATGCTGAGTACTCCAGGGAGACAAAAATGTTGTTCGGGAATATGTGAATTTAATAAACAGAATCACAGAATGGTAGAGATTAGAAGGAACCTCTGGAAGTCACCTTGTCCAACCCCCCTGCTCAAGAAGGGTCAGCTAGAACAGGCTGCCCAGGACCATGTCCAGATGTCTTTTGTGTATCTCCAAGAATGGAGACTCTTCAGCCTCTCCAGGCAACCTGTGCCAGTGCTCAGTCACCCATGTAATAAAAAGTCTTTCCTTATTTTTATATAGAACCTCCTGTTTTTCATTGACCTGATATAAATATGTATTTCAATTCCAGCTTCCTAGGTGCTCCTGCAGTGAGATGGTACCCAGAAGATTTGTCTTAATACATATGATGACAACTATTCGTACAGATAACCTTCTTATATCTACCATGAAATGTTTGTACTTTGAGTAGTGGAAAGTTGTTCTCTTTTAGGAATTCCTAATCCTGATGCTATATCTCTGTCCAGAGCAGCGACAGCTCTAAGCAGAAGTCACAGAAAAAGGTCATCCGAGAAATTTGTTTATGGAGGTTTATTCATGTCATTAACTTATCAAATAATTTCCAGTAACAAAGCCGAGTTCTACTTAAGGGTAACTGATGATAAGGAAAATCTGCATAGATGCAGTTTATTCATCCATCTTGAAGTGAAGGGAAAAGTATAAAGCTTCATTTAATCTCTTCTGACATGAGTGGGGAGTCTTTCAACTTGGGTTCAAGAAATTTAGGTCTCATTGGAGTGTTTCAGGGTCAGTGCCCTGACAATTTATCCTTAATAAGGCCCTAACGCAGTAAAACACTGAGCATGTCCTCTAGTAGCTGTTGAATGTTATCACTTACTAGGGTCTCCATGCAGTAGGACCTTCCTACTGAAGAGGGACCTTGCAAAATACATAAGGGGTTTCCTCTTTCAGCCTTATTTTAACTTTTATAAAATGTTAATTTTAATATCATATGGAATGAGAAAGCCAAATTACAGATTTCCCTGCTTTCAGATGAAAGTTGGTATTCCATTTTTTACAGCATTTGCATAGGTGTGGCTTATCAGTTTAGATTGTAATTTGCTGCATATTTAATAGCATTTTTTCCCAAAGATCTCTTAAAATGTCTGAATGGGGAAGATGACCACATAAGATTTTGCTTCTTATGACCCTCAGAGAGAGAACTTGTTTGACAAACCAGTAAAAAGCAGTGCTTTTTTCCTCCTAATTGCCAATTCTGAAGGTTAGGGTCAAACAAGGCTTCTTTCTGCTTATGCATTATTACTAGAAATAAAAATGCTGCATATCTCAGGACTTTACCAATGGATTAATATTTCTTTCTGATACTGTTTATGTGCAAATTGAAAATGCACTTTAGAATGCAAATCAAATCACAATTTAATTTCCCTAGGATCCTGAGCAATAATATGCTTGTTCTGTAATGATTATTAGTTATAAACCTCATCGGGGACAGGGATTTGCTGTTGTTTGCATTTCTTCTTTTCTTTGTTATTTGTTTGTTTTGCACCAAAAGAGTTGGACATGATTCCAGCATTTTTTGACAAAACAATAATAACAATACAATAAAGAAAAATAGAACAAAACAATAAAGAAAAGCTTTGTAAACATAAGTTTACATATACTTATGGGTGCACTGACACCCCATATTCCCCGCTCCCCAAGTTTTTAAAATTAAAAGATTATAGAAAAAAATCATCAAGCCCAGGCCTACAGTGTCATTCCCGACAGTCTGTGATGTGTTTAACCCTCCATGGTCCAGCTCTCCTATGTATCACAATTTGCTTGAGCAAATGTAGAGTCAGTACCAGTGCCTCCATATGGGATGTTTGGGAACACCACCAAAACCAGTGAGCTCTGCCTGTTCTTAAATTCTCGTCTCCTTGCTGCTTTAGCACGGAATTGGAATGTTTGGTGTGGTAGTCACTTTCTTTGCCTCTGTCACCTGCAAAAAAATTTATCTTAACAGGAGCAAAAGGGTTTGCATTGTTCAAAGCTGTGTCTTGTATAGGGAATGTAAAATATGAAGAATAGGAGGGAAGAAGCTCTAGCTGTGCTTGTCCATTTGTTGGTCAGAGAGTATAGGAGGACTTGAAGTCATTACCACTGGGGACAGGAGACAGTTTAGCTGTGCAGCTTCTTTCTGGGAAAACTAATTGACTGGATGAGTGGGTCCTGAGAAGACTTCTGCTCGTTAGAAGAGGGAAGGGGAGGAGAAAAATGGGAAGAGACTGGTAGCTCAGGAGGGAATTGTAGAAAACTATGCTATCCTCCATTGTGGAAGAGGCTTAACTATAGGTCTTTGGCCTGAAAAGGTGGAAATGTAGCCAGTACAAATGATTAGCATCCGTAGGTGAGCTAAGCCTTATGCCTTAACAGGATAAAATATGGCAGAGAGTGGAGCAGGGTGGTGTACTGCCTTTGTGAAAAGGGCAAGGGAACATAAGCATCTGTGGGGTGGAAGGATTGGACCTAGAGAGGATACACCTCCTAGTATGGCTCAGTGACAGCCAGCTGAAGCTACTCTTGCAGAAAGAGGAAAATTTGTTTACTCTAAGTTCTTTTCCACGTTCACATAATGGAGAACTCTTCAGACATCAGAAAAAGTTTTTCAGTGGATAAGTCACAGCAGCACTGGCCTTCCTGGCATGCTAAAAAGATGACAGACATAATAGCCACGCTATGAACTGTTCACCAAGACAAATCCCTCAACTTCAAGTGCTGTCAGGGAGAACAGACTTTTGTGTTCTGTTCTCCTTGCTTCTCAGCACTTTTTTCCTGCACATATTTCAGATCTATACAGCGAAGTGGAATTTGACCACCTCATAGCCAGTTTTCAATGCAAACTGTACTTTTTACGATGACTGAACTTTCAGTCCCTTCACAATTGACTTGGCATTACTCCCTTTCCTGACAGGTTCTGTTAGTATTTTCAGATGGGCTGGATGATTCGCTGGAAGATCTCAGGAAAGCATCTGACTCACTTCGCTTTAAAGGTATTACAGTATGATGTTGATGCTCCAGCCTCCTACTACCCAAGGCCCAGTGTATTGCTCCCCCACTGCAAATTTTCCACATAATGTTGCCTCTCCACTCTCATGTGGCATTCCTCAGGAGTCCCTGGGAGAGTGTTTCTCCATGTGAACCAAGGTACATGACTTGTCACTGTTCGTCAGATGATGGCAGAAAAACACACATAGGTGTGCTGAGGTTCTAGTTTCTGGGATCCAGCTTCAACAGCTGATGTGACTCAGGACAGCCCCCTCTCACTGATGAGTACAGCACCAGAGGTTAGGCATAACTCAGACTTCTGCAGTGCAAAACACTAATATTTGGGCACTGCGTAGCAATCTGGTCTGACAACTGGGGAGAGAAGTTAATTGGAAAATTACTGGTCTGGATTTTTCTTTTACACATTGTTCTCAAGAGGTTGATTTCTTTGAACATACTGTGTTGAAGCCGTGAAGTGTAAGTCTTTTAGAGAATTGCTGTTACTTAAAAATATATTGTTGGTTAAATAGTATATTTCAGGCATTCATTAATTAAAATCTGTGCTTATATTGAAGGTCTTGATGCACTCCTGTTAGTTGGCCTGGACAATACACAGAACTTGACTGAATTTTGGGAGATAGAGTTTGGCAGAGGCTTTGGATACAATGAACCTCTGAGTGTTGGGTTTGCAGAGATTGCAAGTATCTTGCAGAGAAACCTTGTAAGTCCTTCTGTGGTAAAAACAAATGGGAGAGAAAAATCAGTCTTTGCTTTATGATTAATATACATAAATTAAATTTTTCTTGTTGTTTTTCAGGATACTGTTGCAGAAAGGAAATGCTGTAAGGTTATTTGTAAATGCCTTGGAGAAAATGGTGATCGTGGTGTCCGGGGAAGTCCGGGAAGGAAGGTAGAAGGTCTAACATAGACATTACAGAAGAATTACTTTATTTTTCAAAGTGCTTCTGTTTTTTGCAATATTTCTGAGCATGCATGCTTGTGCCCATGACCTTAACTGTTAGGATAGTGTGCTTGGGGAACAGTGCTACTTATCTTATAAATTCTCATTTTTCAGGGAAATATGGGTTACAGAGGATCTCCTGGCCATCCTGGTGAGGAAGGTGGGGTTGTAAGTAAACATATTTCTTCCTGCTGTTATGCTGACAGTTGGTGCCTGAGCCTGTCTGCACTTACTCACTGAGGATTCACCAGTGCTAACCTAAAATGTGTTTAAGCAACATGTATCTGCAGGTAAATATACAGATTTGATTCTCTGTGCTTCTGCACATCACGATAGTTAGTAATTGAGTTAAAACAACAACCCACCAGAAGTGAGTTAGTTATTCAGTTAAAAAAAAAACTACCTTCAAGTACAAAGATTTCAGTCTGAAGTTGGTATCGCAGTCTGAAACATGGCATGATAGCAAGAGCAGAGAACCAGGTGCAACTCAAATAAGTAACTGACTGCTCTTTTATGGTCAGTATGAAAATTTCCAGGTGACTTGCACTTGTGTCCTTAGCACAGTGAATGGTGATAGAATTCTGTCTTGCTTTAGTCTTATGTGATGAATTAACCGGTAACCATCATTGTATGGATGAGACTGAACATTTTGTTTTGTTTCTTAGGGGGAGAGAGGCCCAGCTGGCTTCACTGGGACTCAAGGAGACAGGGGTTGTCCAGGTGCTAGGGGCCATAAGGCAAGTATGTGACTGTGAAATATTTCCTAATTTTGTGTCCCACAAACCTGTTTTCTGTACTGGGGACAAATCTGGGGGCTGTCTTACTGAAGCATGGGTAGAGAGCAAGACCCAGCTGTAAGAATGGCAGACAGTGTTTGCTGTCTCATTTTGAGAGGTATTTTGAGGAACTGAAGCATGGTCAAACAGCTAAGGATGTTGCTGTCTAGGCAACTTGACAGTGACTTTTTCACCAACAGCTCCAGACTGGCCTTAGTTAAAGCTATAAAGCTTTAGGGAACAAGAATGAAAATGAGGGCTGTACTATCTCCCCACAGGAAAGGGGTAAATCCCATAAGTGGCAGTAGAGGGTTTTACGGTAGGAACTTACTGATACGGAGCCCAGAATACCCATGCACAGCAACCTATGGTGCCCTGCTTTTCAAGCTCAATAAAAGTACTTTCACCAAATTTCATCTCTGTTTATTTTTAATTTAAGGGGGGCAGAGGCTACAGAGGAAATCAGGTAAGTGTGTTCATGTGTGATCGATTTTCTTTGAGAACAGTGTTCTGCTTCCTTTAAAGTTCATGTTACCTTGTAAGAAAATATCAGCAAAGAAGGAAAACAGTGTAAAAGTTTCAGAGCATTTAATGTACTTTTGCTATGGTTGTCTAAGAATGAATTTAAGATACCTATCACATTAGTCAAAATAAACAGTCATAATTTTATTTTTATATGGTTACGGTCGTAGTTGATTTATTCTAACTAACAGGGATTTATTTACTGATTAATTTGATAATCTATTAAGGTGGTAATTCTTGTCAGGTGAATCTCATATTCTAATGTTGAGGAAGCAGAATAGAGGGGGGAAAAAAGATTGTGAATAATATTTATTGTGGGTTTGGACAGCACTTTCACTAGATCATTGTTGATACTATTGACATTATTCAATATTCAAACTTCTTTTCATGCTGTTCTTGTCATCCACTATTATTGCATGTCTTGTTTAACCTTTTAAACATATCTGTTCATCAAAGAGATATTGTCACCAATTCATTAATAAAATGTGAAACCTGGAAGACAGTGATCTATAATGGCAGTATTAGTTACCAAACTACAGTAATTGAAATGGCATTAACTTGAACGCTTTTACACAAACCCACTTTCTAAAAAAGACTTGGGAGCCTCAAAGACTCAGAAGATATTTGTCTCCATAATTGAAGTGAGAAAGTTGAGTGTGTTTCTGATACCTCAGCTCTCTTTAAAGTCTTGCTCTGTACTAACTTTTTAATCTTCTCACATGTTTCTCTTTCCTTTTCCATTTTCTTCTCTGTTCTCTGAAGTAATTTATCCTCCTTTAAATATCCGAAACATCTGAATATAGAAGAGGGAGAGTCCTTGCTGATGATTTTGATTTGTCCAAGTTGAATAGTGGAGTAGAAATTACCAGGTGCACAAACTCTACTGAAATCCAATGAATATGTGGCATTGTGTCATTATATCTACTAATTTGATTTTAACTAAAAATATGAAACTTTCAACACATAAAAAATGTGTTTCAATTCTACCAGCTTAGTAATCTTGAGGCAGTTTATTGAAGTCTGCAAGACATTTTAGCATAGCTATTTGGAGAAAAAAAGGCAATTCTGAATATTTAATGCTTTGAAGTTTAGCTCAGGTTTTCTGAGGTAGAAAATGAGTGACGAAAAAATAACACAAATAAAAATCATGATTGCTGACTTAGTGCTCATAATTTTTCTGGAATACTTATTTAGAAATTCTTGTTCGTGACATATTAATCTAATCAAAATGTACAGCCAGCTATTTTTTCTTGTTGCACATACAGAATTGTTATAAATAAAAGAAATTCTCTCTCGTGAACTTCAACTAGGTGGTTTTGCAAAGTCAATTTAGCATCAAAATCTACGAAGCAATTGTATCTGTGGTCTCTCTCACAGTGAGAGTCCTGATGTCTTGTGCCACTTTCAGTGGTTGGTTGAATATCATTTCAGCTTTCAGAGTAGTGGTCTCTGCTAAGTTAATTTACATCAGGGTTAATTCCTTCATTTTTATCCTAGTAAAGAAAGATGGAAGAAGCTTATTTGGTCAGGTCTGAAACATTGTGAAGCATGCATAAATGAAATAAGGTTCTCACAGTTGTAAGTCTATTTAGATGCCTCACACAAGTTAATATTGCAAATTCCTTAAAGAAGGAATGGATGTTTTGCAGGAAAATGTCTTCCATAATCAGTTGCAATATGGGGAATCATTTTTGCAGACAAAGGGAGAAGAAAAGCAATGTGTGTTTGAAAAGGAAGATGACTGCTATTTTTGTAGCAAGCACCACATTGCTGAAAGAGTTATGAAGTTTATTTAACAAGTTGTAAAGTCTAGGATCAGTCTTCTGTAATTTTTTTAATCATGGTATAAAGCTATGTAAAAAAAGAAAAGCACAATACAAACACATGATGGTTGACATCAAAATTAAAAAGTTATCAGCATGATAGATCAGATACTAGTAGTTATAGTTTGAAATATATCTAGGTATTGAAGATGCTGCAGTTGAAAAAAGATTTGAAAACAAAAAGAAGGAAAAACAGAATTTAAATACTGATGAAAATCTATAGTTTTAATAACTGTTGTTCTTATAAACTGTTCTTAACAAATAATTAAGATGTTCTTAATTTGTCAAAATATTAATTATTAATTCCAATTTATAATTATTATTCCTAATTATTCTTGCTAACCATTGAAAACAACTAACCTTATTCAAGTTTAAAAAGGTAGGCTGAACACTTGCTCAGAGACAAGTGGACTGATGCTGAAAGGGGGTTTTTTGCTTATTGCTACAGGGTGAACATGGTGAGAGTGGATTCGATGGCACTGATGGAGAGCAGGTAATCATGACATGTGCAGCGTTACTAAAGACACCTACCTCAGGGTTCAAAAGTACAGGTTTTATGGCTTTAGTCCTGAGCAGAAATTCCACTGTTATGTGTTTAGAATTGCGTATCTGATTGAAGTTGGATTCTGCCAGATAAACCCTGATAACCACATTTATCAGAAAGAACAATTATTTTTTTTTTCTTTTTTCCACTTTTATGAGTCTAGGGAGAACGGGGATTTCCTGGACCTTCTGGAGAGAAAGGCAACAGAGGAAAATGGGTGAAGTACCCTTTACAGTAATGTTTAGATTTTATGGAAACATCTTTCCAATGTGTAATGCTGTCTGTAATTCCTCTGAGTTGTGTTTAAGAGCTACGTATTCTCTAATAAGATGTGACTCCTGCTGTAAATCAGTATAGCTCCACTGACTTCAACAAATCTGTGTTCTCTTATCTGGCCTTCCTTTATGGCAGATACTATTTATACTTGTACCTGAATTGTTTGTGCTCTTTTTATGAATTTAGGGCAGAAAAGGCCCCAGAGGAGAACCAGGTGAACGAGGAGAATCTGGTCTAAGAGGAGATTATGTAAGGGTATTCCTTTATTTTTGTTATGTTGCACTGATTTGTGCCTGGATTTTGTGATGGTGACGTCTGAAATTTATATGATTTGAAGAGTTTTTCACAGTGCTAGATAAGTAGTACTCTGCAAGAAGCATGGCATATTCCAGGAGTCCTAAACTCTTTGTATGTAGATGGACTGATGTGTTTTGATATGTTGCTTGGAGGCAGGTGTTTAGGCCTCAGGTCTCCTGCTTGTTCCTTGCATTTTTGGTTTGTTTGTTTATTTGTTACTGTGGACAACATAACTTCTTTTGGAGCTACTTATCACAGAATCATAGAATGGTTTGGGTTGAAAGGGACCTTAAAGATCATCTAGTTCCACAACCCCTACCATGGGCAGGGACACTTCCCACTAGACCAGAAGGTTTAATGAAAAGACCAAGTGGACTAGACCGGTCTTCCTGGTGGTTCCCATCCTAAAGAGGAATTTGAGATCACTTGAAAACCCTGAGCATTAACTCTTGGTTAGCAATTTATAATGATGCAAAGGTAAGTTACTTCTTCATGCTCACATTTTTTCCTTGCATGCTCCAGAGCTCTATATGAACACACTCCCTGAGGACTGAAATTTCAGTGGAGACACAACACTTCTTGTATCACAACTTTGTCTTTTCACATATATTTCGAAGATTTTGTTCCAAACATTCAAATATAGTGTTGACTCCTGACTTCTAATGATTATATTAAAAGAAAACTAAAATCCAGGTGTCATGGTAATTTGCCTCTTTGAGAGATCAGGATTTCACCTGTGTCTAGCATTAAGCAGCTAAATGGAATTCCACTGTAGTGTAACCCCCCGTGAAACTCACGGACAAGATATGATCTTAATTAACTATACCAAATCAACCAGAACAGCTTCACATTTTCAGGGTTTAATTTCTTGCCCGTTAGTAATTTTGCCTTTAATCTCTTCGGAAAAGAACTTTGTGGACTTTGCAGAACTTCCTATATAGTGTTCTTACAGGCATCTTCATTTAAAATAGCCTTTTCATTTCTAGTTGTCTGCAATGACAAATCTAATTAATATTATTTCCGTATCCTGCCTCTATAATCAAAGCAATAAAGGTGGGATCACTGAAAATGCTGAGCTTTCCATTTGACTTTTCCAGGGAGATCCTGGGGCTAACAGTAGTGTTAGTGGTCCTAAAGGTGAAAAAGGAAGCCTAGCACCACAGGTAAGCAAGTAGTTCTATAATTATGGAGAGAGGATTTGCATAATTGCTAAATTGTATTGGCTGTCCAGTGACCAAGAAGCTCTTTTTTTGTCGTGGTTTTTTTTTTGTGTGTGTGTTTTTCGTTTGCTTGTTTGCTTTGTATTTTGCCTCTAGTGTTTGTTTGCAGCATAGAAATCTTTGAGAAGTGTGTGATAGAGTATAAAAGAAAAAAAATAATTAAAAAGGTTTACAAAGACTATGGAAATATTCTCATAATATAGACCTGAGGGAAGATATGGACTAGAATATATTATTCTACCACAAATTTGCATCAGCCACCTGAGAGGCTTCTAGCCATGCGTTATAAGGATACTGTTAAAAATCATGCTGGTAAAACTGCATTGAGTATCAACAAACTATATGCATTTTGCTATGGAGCCGCTATTTCTCAGGATGTGGGTAAACACCATTTTGTCCTGTATCAAGAATATAAGAGCTGGATTATGTGCTTATATAGCAATGTCTGAGTTTTTAAGAGGTCTTTGAAGAATACTGCAAGAAAAGAAACATAACAGAAAAGCACAGCCCATTTCTCTATTGCACTTTATTTGGAAAGAATAAGCAAAGTGGATAAGTAGTTGGACAGTAGTATATAAATGATGGTGGATGAAAGCTTAAGAAGCTGAGAACTAGCAACATGTGAGAAAAATCCACTATTGTAGAAGATTAATCCTATCAGAATAAGTAGGGTTTTGTGCACGTGCTTGGACACGTGTGTGCATATGTCTATGTAGAGTGTGATGGAAGCAGCAGAAAAACTGTGAGGGTTAATTTTTGGAGAATAATTGGGTTTTGATGACTTGTTTAAAGCAGATCTCATTAAACTTTCTCATCTCAAGTCCAACTGAAAAGCCGAAGTCAACAAAAATTATTTCATTCAAGAAGCCTTGATGGAGTATCAGCTGTTAATAACTCATGGATTGGAAGTCCAAAGCAAGCATGATCTGTCTGGTTTATAATTTTGAATGCAGATTATTTGCAGAAAGCAGGGGTCAGTATTTAGCATGACACAACTGATTGCAATGAAAACTTAGAAGAAGAAACAAAGAAGTAATGTATTAAGAAGAATGTGCAAGTACAAGAAAGAGGCAAAGATGTTTAAAGAGCTTGATCATTATTTTGTTTTGCAGGGAGATCCAGGCCCACGTGGACTCCAAGGAGAGCAGGGTGATGCTGGTCCTGATGTAAGAATAGTAACCAATATGGGGTGAAGTTACTGTTAAAAAATGGGATTCCTTTGAGAAAACCCCTTTTTTCTCTTCTTCCTGTTATCCCACACTTCAAACTCCTGCAAGGAGAGGGAACAAAAATCTTCTAATATTTTCCTAGCGAAACATACTTGGCTTAAAATTTAGTAGCTTGTGGTCATTGAAATGTTTTGTATTCTTTAAGATCAGGAATTTACTGTCCTGTTAATTTTAGGTCTGATTCATGCGAAGTCACAAGCCTTAAACTCAATGCAACCTTTTCTATGAGCTTTAATTGCTTTATAATTTCGCTGTAGGTAAATCTACCTCTTCTTCCTCCCCATGACAACAAGTTTTGTATGCCTGTTCAAGCATATATATAAACACACTGGCAGCTAAGCTGCTCTTTTTTGTTCACTGGAGACTGGAAATTATGAAGGCACCTCTTCTTGTCCATCAGAATGGTGCTTGATGCCAAAATCTGGAATGATGATCACTCCTCAGTCAGGCTGTAGAAACATCCTAAAGGCTTCTAGTGATAGGAGGTTGAACAGTAACGTTCACTAGTGCTGCTGAGCAGTGTGCAGCAGGAAGTGGTGCAAACCTCTTAGCTCAGAGGGAGAGAAGAGGGCTTTTGTTCCATTGATTTTAGCCAAAGGGCAGCTGACTGGGAAGATGTTTTTCAGAATTTTGTTGAAATGTCTTCCCTCTGCACTCACTAAGGACCTAAAGCCTTCTTTCTCTTTTGTAAGGCTTTCTAGCATAATAATTGCTGTCCCAAATCCACTCTTTTCTCCTTTTTTTACCTTAAATCTTTCTTTTGGAATAATCTCTGCTTTCTATAAGCTGCCTTTGATTTGACAGTATATGTAATGTACTTTATTATAAGCCATTGTTTTACATGTTGCTCAGTGTTCTGGATGTAATCTCTCGTGCCACTCCTTCCTAGGGTGCAGCAGGTCGAAGAGGCCCTCCAGGTATAAAGGTGAGTGGCTGATGCTGCTGCTACCCATCTATATGCAGCTACATGTCCAACCTCAGTGTTTGCTCCTCTTAAAGGGAAAGTTTCATTGTGATCCAAGACACAAGTGCTTAAAAATCAAAAGTTTGCCTCAAGCCAGGGCAGCCTTTGGATCTCAGGTGGCTGTACTAGAGGCCATCCTGACTTGAAGGATTTAGAATTGGAAAAGAGTTTTCATCAAAATAAAAGGACAGCTACTGTTATTATTAGGGCAAATGTGGGAAAGTAAGTAGAGAAGAAACTCACTAAAGATGACAGGAATGTGTGGTCAGGCTGCAAAGTCTGACAGTTTATTCCTCCTTTGCTGCATGCACACAGATATATGCATGATGCGCACACGCAGCACAGATAAAATTAAGGCAATGATGCTTTGCTAAAAATAGATGTAACAGTGTTAACTGGAGCTCTGAAAATTGGCTCGAAGCATATAAACTGATCAAGGTTTTGGAAAGAATTTAATTTCCAAAGTCAATATGTAAAAGAACGTAGTGTAGTTTGAATGCTGGTATAGGATGTAAGGAATAGGTCGACCCCAGTGCATGCTGATTGATCGTTCCAGGAAGATCCTCTGGATGGTAGCCCTGGTTTTCCTAGATCTATACCCCATAGAGTTTGGATCTCAATAAACTTTATGGAGATGTACTTGGTAAAGACATCACTGCCATTCTCTTAAGCGATGATTCAGGTAGTGTTCTTGGAAAAGAAATCTTGTTTGTCTCTGGGTATAAATTACAAAATACAGTTATCAAAGCACATCTAAAAGCAGCTATATTCAAGAGTGGGTTAGTGCAAGTAGAAATTCTAGGAATTCTCAAGTATAGGTTATATGATCATTTCAGGAAACATTGCTTTAGCACAAGTGGTTCCCATTTGTGGTTCCCATATCTCTGCAGTTTCTGACAGAGATAAGGGAGACAGTATATGCCTTGGTATAGCATTTCCTTTCTATCTTAGTGCATATAAACCCAGGGAAACATTACAATTTCATGTATGACACTGTCAGACCAGCAGGATGGAATATGTCTCGAAATCCTGCCTTGTGTTGGAGTCTAGGGAATGGGCAGAATTGTAGCTTCTGAATAAATGTGCAAACCAGCATTTTGAGTAGAGTTTGTTCTATGCAACTCTTGACTCAGAAACATGGTCAGGGCAAAATTTGGACCAGCTTTCCCCATCGCTTATTTCCAAATCATACTCATACAATATCAGTGCAGTCATAGTATCAAAGAGGAGACAGGATGAAGTGCAAACGCCCAAGTAGCAGTTCTTTCAAAGTCCTTGCCAAAGCCCTGTTTCCTTTATCCAGGTTCACAATATGAAGTGTTTGGCATGTACAAAACATGCTGTACAAAACATGCTGTTAGAGGACAGCCAGTAAAAGTTTGATGAGTTTGCTCAGTTTCTCAGGTTTTTAATTGTGGATGCAGTATGTAAATTGAAGTGCTTCTTGTGTTCTTAATTTGGCAAAAGGTTAATGATTTTTCATGAAACTTCTGCCTCGATTGAGTGAGGGTTTTTTTGTATCAGCAGCAAGCATTTAAAGTGAAGACCAAGTGTGAAATGTTAATAAATAATACTGATAATAACCATAGCGATGCAATATAGAACATAAATTTCAGCAAAGGAAAAGGACTGTTGGGAGGGCACAGTCACTTTTATGGCAGAAATATTTCTTCAGCAGCATAGTGTTTGATTTGCCTCTGATTTCTGAGCTTCCTGTCCCTCTCCTGTTGGGAGGAGCAGTTTTACTGTACCTTTATTACTCTCTTCCTGTGTGCTGCAGCCAGGTAACACAGGGCTTTTACATTTAAAGTGATTCAAATTAATATTTCACTGGGAAATGACAATCAGAAGTGAGAGTCCTGTAAGTTCCCTAAACTACAGTCCCGTCACATCCCAGCTTTTTGCAATATACAGGCATACCTTGTGCCAAAACCCTTGTCCCCACCTGGTTTCTCAAAGTCATGATTTAGATTTCACTTTGAGAATCCAGAATTTTCACTGTCTGGGGTATTGCAGGTAGGAATAGACTGGAATATTCTGATACTGTCTGCCACTAACAGAGAAAGCACCAAGCTTTGGCTACAGGGATCAGAGTAACTTGAAAAAATATGAGCATTTTATAGTTCCCGTTTCCTATTTCTATCTCAGAAATTATTTATAGGGTTTATGAAGACATTTTATATTAAAATATTGAAGAATATTCATCAAGCCTGCCTCTTAATTATTCCAATTCTTGCCTAAACACTCAGAAATCCATTTCTTAGGTAATTATGAAACTTCGTGCACTTCCCCCCCCCCCCCCTTTTGATTGCTGCTTAACTCTAAAAATATTTGTGTTTTTCTGTCAGGTACCAGCAGAAAAAAATAGTCCAAGTAACAGGATTACTGAGGGTAACAGGACAAAACTGGACTCTGTGAAAATGGAATTGTGCCTTGTTGTTGTTGCACTAAAGCACAAGAATGCTGATGAGATTAGAAAATAAAATGTTCAACTTGTTTAGTAAAATCACAGAGTGCAGAATTCATTGAGCCTTTAGAGTCAACCCTTGTCATCTCCCTGGGAACCCCCTCACCCAGTGATGAGGCCACCCTTTTGTGATGTGGTGCGGAACAAGAGAAATGGCTGAACCTCACAGCAACAAGGAACTTCCAAAGTGTTTTCATTTAAATACCTGATGATCAGCTTTGTCTTCTAAAAGTATAATAAAACCCACATTTGTATGGGTAGGTAGGCATTGAAAAGCTAGGCACCAACCCATGGTCAGAACACAGCTTATGTAAATATCCTTCATTGAAGAGGTGAAAAAGGTGAATGGCAGAGAGAATTGCACACTTCTGTCTTCCACATCTCCTGGAGAAACTAGAAGGAACAGTAAACCCTGCAATATGACAGTGGCATCCATCCTTCTGTTAAAAAACCATAAAGAAGCACAGCTAGCCATTCTTAACAGTCAGAAGTAGTCAGGGCAGAAGGAACAGAAGGTGTGGTGAGGTGTCAGAGGGGTGTTTGTCACAGGCAAGAAGAACATGCAGTCTGTGTACTGAAAACAAAGCAAGATATTGAAGATGGAAGGGAGAATAAACTAAAGGAAGGCACGAAAGAGGGGAAAAGATGGGGGAAGAAAAAAGAACAACCACTTTTCTGGGTTTGATTCAAAGTAAATTTAAGTAGGCGAAAACTTTCTGTTTGTTTTGGATTCTAGTAGAGTGTGCCTAAGAAATTTGTCCATCTTCATTAGAGTCAAAACAATTTTTGTGGAAATCTTTTCCTATTTAATTTTTTTTACATCTGGCAATAACATATACTTACTGATGTTCCATTTTACATTATGGTTACTCTGGCTATAAATTGATTTTGGTCTTTGTTTTTTGCTTTTGGCTTTTTTTTTCCTTTTTTTTCCCTCTGTTTTATCTTTCGTTTCATTCATGGGATGGAGAATGGAAATTCAGCCTTTTAAATGCAGTTTTACTCAGGAGATTCTTTCCAGAACCATCTGTTTCCCAAGAATCTTCAGACATATGTTTATGATTTCTTCAGTGAAAGGGGATCTGCAAGGCCTGTAATATCTTGGTGCTAGTTGTCACCATTTTACTCAATCCAGCAGACAGTGAATATTTGTTATGGATGTCAGCTAAACTGACTCATCCTCAGATGCCAGCTTTATATGGAGATGGGAGCTGAAAAAGTTTTTTATCCATGATGCAGTATTTGACTTGCCTCACTGAATAACCAGGGTGAAAGATGTGGAGTATAAAAGCCTCTGATTCTAGTACGATAATGAAGTTGTGGTTTCCCCTCAGAGTCGTGCTTCATGGGCAAGGGGGAAGAGGACCTGCCCTTGTGGTCCTGACTTTATAACTTCTCATGGTTTCTGCAGGGGATGGGGACAAGGACAACGGTAATGCAGGAATAGTGCTGAAACCTGATGTAAAATGTATTCAGGAAAATGCAAAGCAAATAGAACTGACCTCTTGTGCTGCAACTTTTATAATCATCACACACTCTAAACAACAAGAAAAAAAGCTACTGAAGTCTTTTACTTTCTACTGAGTTTCTTCAACAGGAATCTGAAGCTGCTTGAAAGCTGTTTGGGAGCATTGAAAAACATTCTATCAACTATGTACAGATATGAAATTATTATCTTTTGATGTACAGATGACAGGTGCTAATTTGTTTGGGTTTGTTGTTGTTTTCTTGGGTTTTGTTCTGGCAGGGTGAGCAAGGAGATCTGGGGGAAGCAGGTTACCCAGGAGAGACCGGTCTTCCAGGCCCACAGGTAACTAATAAAACTTATGGTTTTATTTTAGCTGTGAAGAAAATGAATTGTCAGTCTTGATATTTTGTTTTTCTTTTGGAAAGCTTGGTTAACTTCAGCTTCTGAATCTTGTGAGTAAGAAATCTTCCTTGGCAAATTTCTTATGTAACCCTGAGGAATTAAATGTGGCAAGTTATGTGGGTGCAGCTTCTAGTGAAATTAAAAGAGGAAAATGAATAGCAAAAATAAGTAATTTAGCCAACACATCATTAGAAATTGCATAAAATCTATTGCATCGACAAAACCAATGTGAAAAGCTTTGTGTTTTAAAAATTTGCTAGGTGGAGTAATTTTGAAGAGAATTATCATGGTAGACTGTTTATAGTAGCTTCCAGTTTTAAGATGCTCTTAGATCCTCTAAAGATGCTTTTAACTTTATGTTTTAGGATCTGGAGAAAGTGTGCCTAGTTCATAGTGGGCTGCTTATGGCTCCCTTGATATCTTAGACACCTCAGTGTATCTCTGAATCAGGCTGTTGGGCAGTGACCATCTCAGCTGCTTCACACAGGAAAATCCTGACAACCAAACAGCCAGAAGTTTCACCTGTGCATTAAGGCTCACGAAACAGGCACTTGTATTCTGATCATTGCAGGAATCTGATCTTCATTGAAAGACTGTCAGCAGTCTGGAACTGACTTTTTTTTTTTCAATGGCTTTTTTACATCAGGGCCCAAGAGGACCACAAGGGATCAGAGGACCTCCAGGACCACAAGGCATTCCAGGCCCTCTGGTTAGCTTTAAATAATATATTCCTACTGTACACATTAGGGCTTTTCATTCTCAGTGTTGATATTATTCTTATAAAAAGTTTTTAAAAGCTTATAAAAAGTAGAAACTGAGGGTTTTTTTGATGTAACTGATTTTTTGTAACTGATTTGCAGCTTCATATGATAAAATAACAGCCTTGAAAATAAGTTTAGGTGGGTGAATAGGAAGTGAATGTCAGTGTTACTGAGCTTTTGCATGATTGTAGTGAGGAGCCTTATCTTTAGATTCTACTCTCAGTTATCTAGTATGAGGACTAAGAGCATGGCTTGCAGCATGTTTAAATACAGATGCACAGTGGTGTAGTTGAGATCAAAGTTATATAATGATCAGTAGTTTCATTGTGGCCTGTGAGATTTACTGCTGAAGTATGATCAGGTTGTAACATTTGAGCACTGTCTCCTGATCTCCTCTCCTGTGTGATGCTCTTGATTTTGGAGGTTCTTGTTCTGGAATTACATCAGTGTAAATCAGGACTGGAATGTCCTACGCTGTCAGCATTGGTCATCTGCTTCAGTCAAGTAATAATGTTCATGATTACACACCCAATTATATGTGTGCATTCATGGTTTTGTGCACATGTGCATGTATTGACTAAGTATCTATGTAGGCTGAAAATAACATTCATTTCATACGTAAAAGCATTTTGAGGTTTATACAGCAGTTGTACAGAAGACAGGAAAGAAATGGAATGATAACTTGACCAGTAACTCTTACTGTGGTCCTTGAAAGCTTGTAAATGCACTATTATTTATACTGACTCTGTAGTAATTTCAAGTGGGAATGAATCCTTGAGTGCAGTGAGCCCTTGATTTCTTCACTGTACACCTTTTAACTGATACTTCTTATTACAGGGTAGTCTGGGGCCCCCAGGTTCACCTGGCTCTGTTGGAAAGTTAGGTGCAAGAGGAGAAAAGGTAAAGATTTTTAAGGTATCTAATTGCAGCAATCTAACAGTATCATTCATTCAAGAATTTGACTGAAGAAGCATATTCTAACACTTTGTTAGTCCTATGAAACATGTGTAGAATATTAAGATCTATAGACATTTTCAGACTGCATGGGAAGACAAGTGATATGTTCAAGGTAATCTTACAGGTGTCAGAGAGATAATAAGAAGTTTTTAGTTTTACCATGACCACTAATGTAATTGCTGTTGTGGTAGTGGTTCTCAGTGGGGCCTGGTTTCTCACAAAATGCAAGAGTGCTGACCTGACCCTGAAGCTCATTTTAGGATTCCTAGAATCTGTCCAATCCATTGCAAATACATTCCAGTTAATTACAGAATATCACAAGTTGGGAGGGACTGATGAGGATCATCAGGTCCAATTCCCTGCTCCTCGCAGGGCGAGTAAACCGCATGACGAAGTGCGTCATCCAGACACTTCTTGAACTCTGACAGGCTTGCTTCCATGACCACTTCCCTGAGAAGCCTGTTCCAGTGACCGACCACCCTCTTTGTGAAGAACTTATTCCTAATGTCCAATCAGTTCAAAAAAGTGTAGTTGCTTATTTTCACCTTGTTTTTCTAAAAATTCCTAACAGGTCCAAGGAACCTTGACTATTACGATGTCTATCATAGAGGACTGAGTATGTTGAGAACAATTAAATCAACATGAAGTTTAACAGAAAGACTTATGCTAATAGATGGTCTACATTACTTTCCTTTCATTTATGTTAATATGGGAGACTAACTTTATTCGATAAAAATAACTCAGTTGTTGTTGAATTTTTGAATGTAAGTCATAAGTCATACCAGTTGGCTAAGCCTTTCAGTCTCTTTGAAGGTTTGTTACATTCAGTGACAGAAGGTCAAAGTGTTACTATAAAAATAGTCACTATGTGAAAACATACAGTGAAACAGTGACAAAAATTGGAAAAATACTTAGAAATTTTCATCATACCTTCTATTTTCTGTGTCTGATTTTGTGCTGTTTAATATTGGGGTCCTTGTTAGAAGAAAGTTCGATTGGAAAGCGGAAACAAAAAAGAGACTGAAGAAAAGAAACGCTGTGAGAGGACTAAGAGCTCACTGCAGACAGCCTGCCTGAGAAATATCATCTGCTATCAACAGGTGGTTCAGGCTGGTAGAATTCCAGGATATATCCTGCTAGTACTATATTATAAACTTTTCCAAACCCCACTTTTTTCACTGATAATACTGTATAACAATGGGAGTTTTGTTGAATAAAGGCCTTTGGAGTTTAGCTGCATGAATGCTCAGCATATTCTGATTTGCCTAGTCCTTTCCGGTTCCACCATAAGGAACATTCCATGAAACATGGTCTCTAGTGGAATGCTTTTGCCCAGCATCAAGTAGTCTATAAAATGTATAGGTACACTTCAGTCTAACAGACAACTTCACGTTTCAGAAAGAAGAATTCTCCTAAATGAGTCCAACTAACAGCTTCCGTGTTTCAATTGTAACAGGGTGAACCTGGTGACCCCGGAGAGAAGGGCCCAGTCGGACCACCTGGACAGAGAGGCATGCCTGTGAGTCTTTCTCCCCTAATTCAGAGCCCCTGTAGTTTAATACCAATCCAGCTGAAATACTACAGTTCATCCCTTTCTATTTTCTCTGATACAATTAAAATTATTTCACATTTGGTTCCCAGTTTCCTTATGGACACCAGATTCCTTGTGGGCTAGAGAGAATATCTTTCACATCAAATTCTCTAGAGGAAAGAATATGGTGAAGGTAGGGCACACAAGGAAAGGAACTGTGGCCTTAATCCTTATTTTCTCTCTATGGCTTTTACCACCATTTGCTGCTGGTTTCAGACCATATAGTGAGAGCTTACCCTAATTCATTAATCTTAACAGCCTGAGCACCTCACTGTAATGGGACATCTTTATTTCAAAGTCAAACTGGATATAAATCTAATCCTCTATTAAAATATAACTCACGGTATGTTCAACCTATGCAGGGCGTGGATGGCAGAGATGCCTATGGTCCTGAAGGAAGCAAAGGAGCAAAGGTGAGTGCTTCAAGTCGGAATGTCTCTCAGTCTTCTGCAGTATCAAATGGAGCATCCGTATTATATCAAAAAGGAATGTAAGACATGGCCACAGTAAGAGGTTCAGGATTCCCACAGTCCTTGTGAGAAATTCTTCAATAAGATATTCTTTTGAGGACCCCTCTCACTCTTTCCCTTGATGGGTGTATATGGATATGAAGGATTGTACTTCTTGGAGTACGCAATTGGTGGTCCAGCCACTCGGGGCTCTTCTCATTTTTCTTCTTTCAGTAGAGGGATTCCTTGACTACCAAGGAATACTGAGACAGTAAGGATATTGTTTTAATGTGAAATATTCTTCCTTGTGCTCCTATGGTCAGCAATAAGATCTGGGGATAAACCTCTGGATTACTAAGAAACTCTTATCATTCCCTTCACAGTGCTGAATTAAAAAAGCAATTAATTTCTCACTTCTTTAAAAACATAAAAGAATCCAGCTAAAATAAAAAGTATACAGAAATGAAGAGATCAAAATCATGGCACCAGTGGCACCAATGGGTCAGTCTGGGAGCAGAGGGGTCAGGATGCTTGAAAAAGCTGCAGTCCTCCTTTCAAGGAATTTGTGTAGTGTTTTGCAATACAAGTCCTTTCTTGCTGCTTGTAAAACAGAAGTGGCCCAGTGGATCTCTGATAGGCCTGTCTTTCACTGTTCCTTTTTGTGGGAGAAGCAGAGTGTTGTAGGAACCTGCAGAAAAGATATGAAAGGCTTCCCGGGAACCTCTCTAACTGATGAGCTCCTTTTGCTAAAATGGCTCTTGGTGCTTCTTATTTTCCAATATCTTTTCTCACCTTCTTAGCTCCAACAATTCCTTTTCATAGGAGAGTTTCGTAGATTATGCATACATTGTATACAAGACTAATTTTTTAATCTCTTGAAATCTCCCACTTGTTCACTTCAGGGAACACCCTACATGTTAGAAGAATGGAGGAAAAAAGTTTCTGCTAAATCTTCTAGTCATTATTCATTGTTTTAAAGGATTAATTTAAAGCCTTTCTTATACACTGATGTCTGCCCAGGGTTTGGCAGGGCCTGGATTAAAGCAATTAATAAAAATAACCAAAACCCAATTTACTCCAGAATAGTGATTCAGAAAGAATGATTTTCCCCTGATAGCTAAGAGAATAACCTTTAGTATAAATTTTACTTAAGGTTGCTATTAATTATACAGGTTCGCAGTCACATTACGCTCTCTTACATGTAATGGGGGGTGTACGTGCATGAAATTTTCTGAAAATTGTTGGATAAAGTCATATGATGTTTTACAACCAAGTCCACTTCCATGGGAGGGAACTCTTAGAACAGTGGCATACGTAAGTAGTGTGAATTCTGATGTTAAGGAAAGAGATACTTCACTTCTGATTGGTTTATGTGAGTTTCCATACTTCTCATATACGAGCAAAGAACAGACCAGAAACTGAAGTAACTGAAAACAATTAATGAATTGACTTCTGATATGCCAACAAAATATCATGGTATCATTGTTTAGTATGGAGGGTACAACGTTTTGAAACTACATTCAAACACTGAGTTCTGAATGTTACCATTTACTCATAGTCACTATATGTGAATTCCACTGTATATTACTAGGATACATAAATAAGTTTTTAGTCTTTCTGCTGTGCCTTTTGCAATCAGATATGTCTGTCACGTATTGGCCTCATAAGCCACCAGCGTGCCTGTAGCAAATGTGGATAGAGCCTTCCCAAATCTTCGTTCGCGAAGCCTAGCCATGATTGACTAGGATGCATAAATAAGTTTTGATAAGACATGTACTTGAGAAATTGAGAATGCTTGAAAATCCAGAAACTGTTGGAAATTTTTAAAACGCTCTTCCTTTAGATGAGCAAGGTGTTCATATACAATGGTGTCATTTGAGACCAGAGTAGTAACCACAGTTACTTGAATGGGCTGGAATGCTAAGAATAATTTTTAAATTGTTTTTGGTTTAAAGGCATCAAACACTAAGCAGATCATAAAGTTCTAGATTCCTATGAAGTCTTTGTCCTTTCTTTTTGTAGGGAGAATCTGGATTCATAGGATATCCTGGTCCAGAGGTATGATTAAATGGCATATTTCCTTTCCTTATGTCTTGTTTTATATTTTTGTATTTGGAAGTTTTTGTCAGTCTTTCTATCTGTCTTCTCCTTTCCTATAAAGTTCTGAATGTCATTAATTTTCAGGGAGAAGATGGAGACCCAGGCATTCCAGGAGCTGAAGGACCCAAAGGAACTAGGGGTAGAAGAGTAAGAATGACAGATTTGCTAACTCTGTGAAGAGTTCTATAAATAAAGCCCTTATGTCCTAGGTGTTTTCTCACAAAGAAAAAAAGTTAAATTGTTTCCCACCCTGATCTTTTATTGCCGTATCTTGTGCAACAGGTCTTGAGAGAATGCTGGTCGGAGTCTTCAGAGATGCTGGTTGCTAATAATTCTTAATAGTGGTAGTCTATGTAAATGCAGGATCCAACTCACAATATGGTTATGGAGGGTTTTTTTCCCCTTATGAAGTTTGGCACCTATGTGTGCAATTATAAAGAATGAAACTTGTATTCCTATTTTTAGGGTAATACTGGCACACCAGGTTCCCTGGGAGATCCAGGAGATCAAGGACCATCAGGACCTATGGTAATATAGTTTTATTTTTAAAAAAAATCACTCTTAGATTGATCTTAGACTTACTAGTAGAATAACAGAATATTTAATTATGTTTCATATGCTTAGTTGCCTGGAAGTTGTATAGAGTTATATCTTGCCTGTGGATATGTGTGCACAGGAGCACCTGCTGCTGAAATGGAACTGCAACAATAGTGCAGGGCAGAATTTCTTCCACAGTATTTGGTATTGTCTTTAGGCTGGGTAAATATCTAACTAAATAAGCAGAGAGTACTAAAATATAGAACTGGATTGATCTGCTGAAAGCCAATGTATTTTTTTCATTTCAAAAGAAAAGCCATTTAAAATCAGACTTGCAGTTAAAAGGCATGCACTTAAAGCTTATATTTATTGTAGCATGTTAATCCTTATATACAAGTAAATGTCCTGATGTACTTTTCCAGTGTCTGTGTTTTGCATTTTATACAACAAAATGTTTTATTCTCTATCTAAGCAGATGAAAGGATTGTGGATTTCAATAGGATTTAGGACTAACCTTGTAGGTAGCTAGGAAAATCCCTGTATGTGTCTACCTTTATCCTGCAGCAATGCTGAAAATCAGCTCCATAGTGACCAGAAACAATCTCTACTGTTACTGATTTTCATGTTAAACTTTCTTAGGCCTACTCTTAGTTTAAATGTGGAACATTATTGATAGCAGTATCTTTACCTGTAAAACATGGCCCATGGGATGTGTCAGCTTAGAAAACTTTTTTTCCTTCTCATTACACTGTGCTGGTCAGTGAATATACCCGTCCCACTTTATTTTATGATGCTGGGCACAAGAATGGCTAAGAATGCATTGCCTTCCCAGCTGCTTGGCCACTCACATGTTACAGGTAGACAAATCTTGTGAGCTGACGAGCCACAGCCGTTGGCCTTGCCAATCCATGGTCCGAGAAGTCTTCAGAGGGATTTCAAGCTCAAGATCTCCTCCTCAAATGTAGAAATGAGAGTAGAGCTTGGGATATATGGGCTTGTTAGGATTATTACAATAGCTGTGCATCAGTGAAATGAGAAAGTGGGAAGTCTGTGGGAAGTGGAAGTGATAGGGAATGCAGGAAGAAGCACAAGTAGTAGGCAGGGACAGCCAAATCGGGCCTGTCTTACCCGTCCTTCCTGCTTGGTGACATGATTGTCTGTATGTGTCAAGTCTGCACAGCTCAGTCACCACCACTGAGCTGCTGCAAGTAGCATTAGGGCTCAGGCAATTCACAGTTAACTCTTGCTGAACAGTACCAAAGAAGAACATTGACCTACTGGGAAATATGAGAAGAAAAAAGCATGGAATGGCTGTGATGGTGCTAGCAGCAAGACAGCAGGAGAGGTGAGGAGCGTAGCTCAGGCAGAAGATGGAGGAATGGAAGATTAATTGGAAGGGGAAGGAACAAATAAGGAGACGGGGTTGTAATCTGGGGACGTAAGGAAGTATATAATTTTGGTGAACTGAAGTGTTATGGTAGAGAGAAGGTAAGGTAAAAGCTGTGGGATGTGGAGCTGAAATTTTTCTGGTGTATCTCACTGCAGCCTCCTGCAAGTAAGTGAGAATTTTCAGTAGTCTTCCTACACATCTGAGTGCACACATGATGAGAACTCTCAAACCCCTTTGAAAAAAAAATTCCTTTGCCTCTGTTTTATTCCCATTATGAAGATTAAAAAATACTTTTATTTTTAAAAAAGATGCTTGAGGTGCTAGCATTTTTCCACAGCTCCCAAGGAGAAGGATGCAGAGTAGGTTGAGCTATCATGATGTGTGTGTGTGTTCTGCAGGGTTTTTCGAGGTACAACTGTAGGGATTTTACCCTGCAAGAGTAGAGGGCAAGCTTGTCACACATCAGGTGTTGGAAAGTACGGAAAGTCCAAATAACTGAACATAGCACAGAAACTGCTGTTTATAAAGGAAATCCGGTTCTGAACTATACTGGTCCTCAAGGGCAACAAGTATTGAACATTTTAAAACCATTAATGAAAATGGACTAAGAAATAAGTCTGAGAAGTGGTCTGTAACTCTGGAATGGGTCCACAAAAATCTATGCTGGGAACTGATGTCTCCTCATATTTCAAATTCATAAGTGCTTGTTGGGAAACACTATATGCCTGCGTTTTCTTTGGGCTACAGAGTAACAGATGGAAATACATTATCAGGGTCTGACTTTTTGGACCTGTGTTTATTTTGTTTCAGGGTGCCAAAGGACCAATGGGCACCATTTTAATGGAAGTAAGTAACAACCTTACAGCTAACTGTACACTGCATGGAATTATCTGGTTTAGGCTTCCATTTATAAGCACTTACAGCAGTGCACACAATTAGCTGTTATAAAACAATATCCTTTTCATGTTCTTGTCAGAGTGCAGTGCGTTCATCTGTTCTGCAAATGATCAAGGAATGAGAAACAATTATGCCTATGGATTAACACCATGTCCAAACTTTTACAAATCATTGGACCATTAATATTCATTTACCTGTTTCTTTACTCACATCAGTTTACACACTAGCTCATGTTTAGGGTTACTTTTTCCCCTCTTGTAAAGGAAGGCATTTCTTCAGCAACAGTTATTTTCACTGGGAATAGAAGTACAAGATTTCTTCAGAATTGTAATCCCATATAAAATGAGTACTTCTGAGCAAAGGTTCCATCTAGCCCTTGCATGGATGACTACCTACAGGCAATACTATTGCAGGTGTGTTCTGTGTCCAGAGGAGGTCTTCTCCCCCTTCATGGACCTCTCTTCCTATGTGAGTCGCTATTGAAATGTCCATTCTTTTATGGAAGTGCCACTGAGTGGTGACATCCTAGATCAGTTTATTAGCACAAAATAAAGAATGGATAAATGGTTTCTTGGTACTCCAGAACATCATAAATGCCAACAGAGCAGGTCTAGAAAAACATGCCTAGTTTCTGCAGCAAGTGAGAGTGTCCCTGTATTATTTGAAATAAAGAGGAACTGGATTGTGTGAATCTGGATTTACTGTAATGAGAGTTAGTTCAGGAACTGGGATATGACCTTCAGCTCAAACACCAGTAAGATTCCCAGTCTGGGATGGTCTGGGATTTGCCATTAATTCCTTTTTTATTTTGAACCTGCAGCCTTGTGAACTTGTGAATTTTACAAGAAAAAACTGCCGTAAGTAGGGAGCATCTTATTTTACCTTTAACACCTAGTCACTCTTCTTAAATGGAATAGCCTCCACTGGAAACCCTGTAAACTGATAGTTTGTATCTGAGTTCCGTTTGACTGGTAGTTGTTAATTGTGAGGGGTTTTCAGCAGGTGTTTGAAGCAGACTTGCTCTTTTTGCTCCTTTTCTAATCTGTTAATTACAAAACCCATAACAAATATCTCTTTACCTCATTAAAGATTAAAATAATTCTTTGGCATTGTGCCAACACCCTTTGGGGAGTTCTCTGAGAGAAGACAATACTTGTATGTGTACTGTCCTCCAAATTAGGTGTGTTCGTTCCCTTCAGACATATGTGTGCAGCAGAACCCAGAACAATTTTTTTACTTCCCATCCAGTAAAAGTGCACTATTTTGAGTATTTGATTATGGAAGAAGAGTGTTGTCTTGCACTGGCAGGTTCTATCAGTTGTCTGAGCTTTGAATCAGGCTTTTTATTGAAAGCAAGTGAATATGTCACTGTATTAATGAATATGGGCCCAAAATAATTTATTTGCTCTCCCTCTCTTCCTTGCAGCTTGCTCATCAGGTAAGTCCATCTGGCCTCTGCATATCCATTCTTTTATAGACTTGAAGAAAAAACTAACAATGTTTGAGTTGTGGAAAGGTTCTCACAGAAATTTTCTGCTTCAATATACAGACACATGTCCAGCTTACCCGACTGAAGTGGTGTTTGCCTTCGATATGTCTGATGATGTTACACCAGCTGCATTTGAAAGGATGAGAAACATTGTCATGTTGTTGCTGAGGACCATTAAGATCAGTGAAAGCAATTGCCCAACAGGCGCTCGTGTCTCCATTGTTTCTTTCAACACCAATATGCACTATCTCATCCGATTCTCAGAATTCCAAAAAAGCAACTTGCTGCAACAAGCAGTCCAGAGAATACCTCTGGAGAGGTCCACTGGAAAGCGAAATATTGGGGCAGCCATGAGATTTGTTGCAAGAAATGTCTTCAAACGTGTTCGTCAGGGCATCCTCACAAGAAAAGTAGCCCTATTTTTTGCCAACGGTCCATCGCAGGATGATGTTGCCATCAGCACAGCTGTGCTTGAGTTGAGTGCTTTGGATATCACTCCAGTGGTTATTGCCTTCAGTGAAGTGCCAAATGTCAGACGTGCCTTCTCAGTAAGTAGATAGATGATAGAAAATTGAGTCACCCATTTGCTCAGTGTCTGCTATTGTTTGAGTAAATCCTGCTCTCAGTCCAGTAAGTTCTAGGAACTGTCTAATCCTTTAGTAGAAAGAGGTACATTAAAGAATATTGCTTCAACAAAGAAACGGTGATTCACTTGACCATAATGATCATCATCTGACCTCTTTCTGCACATGAATTATGAATGGCTTGTGCTTTTAGGCCAAATCACAGAATTTCCATAACATTGTGTTAATTTCACTTAGTTACCTTTGCCATTACTCTTCTGAAGATGTGACATGTACTGACCATTTAACTAAGAAACTGTGGCCCTAGTTTCTAGAAAAAAGTAATAGAAGTCTTCAAGTACACCATGTTTTTTTCAAAAGAAAATTAAATTAAGCAAAACCCCTTTTGATATCTGTATTGCCATTCGCACAGGAGAAAATTATGAAATTTTGTTTTATGACTTCATATAAAAGATAGTAAATGAGAATAAACAGTCCAGTTTACAAGGTACGAGAGGAAACAATTCTAAATTTATTTAAGATTTCATAACATAGATTCCATAGTCTCCATCTTTCCAATTTGTTTTGGTATCATCTGTTCTCAGTTTGAACTTTTTCAAAATAAAATTCTTTCAAGCTGCTGTTTCTTTGTAATTGTCCTTCCAAAAGGAAACATGTTCACTTACACAGGACAAAAGGTGCAAAACTTGGAGTCTGTTCTGATCTAGTAGCCATTTAATCTTCTTATTATATTTATTCTCATGCAGCCTCATATCTGTTAGTCAATTCATGTATTTTTCTGGCTGGATGTTAATTTAGCAGAATGAAATAATTCTGCTAACATATGAGAAGGAAGCTTGTAGTTTGTTGACTGGGTTGCTCCCCAGGATAAACAGGAGCAAGCATCAGTATTTTGTTTACTTAGTATAAGCAGGTTACAAATCTGAATGCATGTGATGATGTCTGTTATTTACAAAAGTGCCAATTATCCATAAATCAGTCTTCAGAGAAGAAAAGTTTAAAAGAGCTGCTTAGCAGGGGGAAAGGCAAAAAAATTCATGGCAGCAGCTCTGCTTTATGTTTACAATGATGGGAAAGCAACCAACCTCACCACTACCCCCCGAGTAAATACAACCTCCCTTTTTCTTTGAGATGGACTTCTGCCCTTGTAGTTGAGAGATGGTTTAATCTTTATGATCCTGCCAGCCTGTAGCACAGCCTGTGCCTTTGGTTACTTTGTTCTAGGAGTTTCAGTTTAGCGATCATTCAAACCTTGCCAATTCTAATTCCTTTGAAGAGTTCTATCTATAACATTCTTGACAGACATTAATCAGAATTTAATTGTGTAGTTTAAGCTGAAGTTTAATGCAAAGAAGTAATTATTTCTTTACTCACCGTTATAGTATAATGTACAGCCATTTTTGTTAATCTTAGTCTACAAGTAAATGCATTTTCCCTTGAATCACATTTGGATGGAGTTGGGTGGTCAGTGAAATTATAGATTGTTGTTGGAGCTTCTTCAGAGTTCCTCAAGCATTTCTGTGGTCAAATCTTCTACTGGGGAAGATTGTCTTTCTTCAGCTGATCACAGGCAACACATATGTTGTTCCAAGGCTAAAATCTTCTCTCCCAAGAAAACATTTTCACTCTTTATCCCAGATATAAGAGATCCTGCCCTTTTCTCTGTAGAAAAATACACCCTATTAAGAAAAGAAAAAAGAAAAACTGTAATATATTTTACCTGTCTTTTAAATGTTACTTTTGTGTCTGCTTTAAAACATAGATTGATGACACTAGAAGATTTCGACTATTTGTTTGGGAAAGACAACAGGATGAAAATTTGGAGGGCATCACATATTGTACACTTTGCTTTGGTAAGACATTTTACAAATTCCATCTGTTGTATTGGTCTATTTAGCCTTTCAGTAACACATTCTATTGTATTTATTTTGCAATGTGGTGTTGGGGAATTTTTATGGTACACCTTAAAGGTGTTTGTGCTTAAATATGAAAGAAAAATATTAATAAACAATGCACTGGGCAGAATCCTACTGCCATAAATGGTTCTACAAGGAGTTTGCAAAAATGTAAGAGCTGATTCCTTATATATGCTTGCACCAGCACCAATCCCATGAGTGGTTGCATGGAGCAACTCAGCCCAGCTCGGCTGCCCACAGGTGGCCCTGAGTGCTGCAGCTGTTTCTTGTCATCACCAAGAGAAACTTCACTCCGTGACAGGGATTTTTTCTGTGTCTGACATTCCTGCTTCCAGCCAACTTAACCTCTTCTGCAAATGGGCCTTCTTGCCCCCTGTGACAGATCATTTCTTGGTTACAGTTATCAGTGCTGAGGAGTTATAATTTTAATTTCCTCTTCAGTGAATGGTAAGAGTTAGACTGTCAAACCCACAAAAGCTGTTTAATTAGTTTCTGTCTCAGACATGTGAAATGAATTACTGTGTTTAGCATTTCCTTTTTAACAGAAATGAACTTAAAATAGCATTATGATTCTGGGAAACCAGGCTCATCTGCTGTGGGTTGTACACTGTGAGGGGAGGAGATGCTACTAAATGATAATATTTCAGAATGTTGAATAGTGATCTGAGATGAAAAATAGGGTTTGTTTCTGTGTCCTTTACAGTGTTTAGATTTCAACAGAAGAAAATTTCTCAAGGGAACTATGGATCTATGAAGTTTTACCTTATGAATGTTTTTTTGCTCTCATGCCTGAATAATTTCCCATATCTCAAAACCTCCTTCAGCAAGACTCGTCTGCTGTTCATTACTAGAACAAAAAGATTTCAAGTTCCCAGATTATTTTTTTAATCAAAATTTAAGAAAAATAAAATAAATGTATAGGACTGTGTGAATTTTTTTCCAAACTCTTGCTTTTGTTTTTGCTATTGCTAAATAGTTTGCTGTTTGCTCTTCCTCTCTAGATAAATGCAAACCAAGAACAAACTGCGAGGTGCCCATTTTTCCCCCAGTTCTGATGGATATGGATATCACTTACATCATGGACAGCTCTCGCAGTGTCAGCAGTGAAGAGTTTCAGAGAGCCAAAGACTTTGTGAACAACATGCTAGATCAGTTTGTTGTTTCCTTACAGCCAAACGAATCATACGGAGGCATCAGAGTGGCACTGGTGCAGCAAGCTCCTAGGGGCTTCCTGCCTGGCAGAAACCAGACACCTGTGGCCTTGGAGTTTGATCTAGTTACATACAGCAGTAAAGATTTGATGAAGAAACACATCCAAGAGTCTGTTCACCAACTGGAAGGGCCATCAGCCGTTGCTTCTGCTCTGCAGTGGACGGTCGAAAATGTATTCTTTAAAGCCCCCAGACAAAGGAAACACAGGGTCATATTTACAATAGTTGGAAGCAAAACAAGCACGTGGGACAGAGAGAGGCTGAAAGAGATTTCACTCGGAGCCAAGTGCCAAGGATTCACTTTGTTCACTCTTGCGCTTGGCAGTGATGTGAGTGACAATGAGTTGATGGAGCTGCCAAGTTCCCCCACAGAGCAGCACTTACTGACACTGGGCAGGGTTTCGACAGCGGAGATGGTGTACGCTCAGAGGTTTAGCCGGGCATTTCTGAATCTTCTACAGCGTAAGTATCACACAATGGCATTTGCTTAAGGTATGGAAAGAAAGAGAAATGCTGTGTAGAAGAAGGTAGTCAGTATATATGTGCTATCATTCCTAGTCATAACTGCCAGTCTTTCACCTTTAGTTTGCCTCAGATGCTGGACATTAATGGAAGTGCCAGCAATGACAGAACAGCATTATATACTAGTCTTAAGCAGGTTTTTTCCCTGAAGTTTTTATTTAATGTGTGGCTTTGTGAACTCCACTTTCATTAAAGGTAGACTATTCTCAGCTAAGAGAACACAGTTCTGATTCCTGATTAGGTCCACATTTCTCCTCAGACCATTGGCAGGTCCAGATTTACTATGCTTATTTAGGCTTTGGAACAGGTAAATATTTAGCACATTTTCTCTTTACTGCAGTTATTCCTCCTCCGCAGAGCAGAAAAAGGACTTCTTCACTTTTCAAGACACATTCATGCAGATTAGCAGGTCTTAGGTGCTTTGAAATACAAACAAGAAGATATCAAGAAGGAAATTGTCACTGATTTAAAATTCTGTATGTACTTAGAGACTTGAAAGTTTCTTTGGAAGCTAAATAGGTTATTACAGAGCAAGACAAAAGTATGAAAGGTTGGTTCAGGAGTCATTCTCACCTAGCTAACCTCTATCATAATTTTCATTTTCCTGGACATAGTCCAGTCACTCTGGGTATGGTGTGTTAACTTACTGAAAGATGCAAACTTCAGTTCACAACAAAAAACTCACGTAGTGCTTTTTACTAAACGTACTGGGGTTTGGAGGACTTTAAAACTCAACCGTGGTATCTGGGCTTTCCCCACAGAAGAAATGAACAGTTATCCTTCACCTGAACTTCAAGAAGAGTGTGAAAACTTAGATCGGGGAGACATACAACAGCAAGTGTCTCTAACTGAAAGGTTTGGAATTGCCTATTTAACTCTTTGGGTGTGTATCTTTGAATATAAGATTTTTGCCTTTGTGTCAGTAGTTGTATTTAAAGTACCTTTAATAGAAATGGGACCAGGATGCATTTTTTAAGGTCATACTGTTGGTTAAATAATTTTTCTTTTCCCCCTCTTCTCAGAAGGATGCCTTTTCCTGGAATGGCTGAACTTGGTTCCAGTTATGGTTTGGAAGACACTGAAAGAACTGAAAGTAGAGTCATGAAGAGTATTAAAGAGAACACCAAAGAACTTGTATACACAATGCCAGAAATGAGATATGATTATGAGGAGAAGAATGAATATGTCACAGAGGGAGCTGCTGCGGGAGAAAAGCCACAAGAGTGTGGAGAAGCTCAGGAGAACAAGGAAAACTTAGGTGCAACAGTAGAAACTAGAACTGCCTGTAATGATTATGGTATGATTTTAGAATATGAAAATCCTTTTTTAATTCAGTAAAAAAGCTTTAAATTGTAAAGGGTTCAGTTGAATATTTACACACGATGAAGAATTTCCATTAATTACACTTTTCCAAAGCATTTGGTCATCATATGTTTGCATTCAGTCCAAATCTATACAGTAAGAGTTTGTAGCTGAAGATTGAACTATATGTGTCATTGTGACTTTAGTTTTGATTTGTAACTTTTTGTGATAATATCATAAAAAGTTCTAATCCCCCTTACTAAAACAGATGATAATTTTGAATTCCAAGTTGCACTGTAATTCCTGAGTTACTCCTACTGATAACTTAGGTCAACATGGAGGAACTAAATATATCTCTGATACAGTCTGTTCCTGTAGGAAGAACAGCAGAAGTCTCAAAATATATATTCATCATGTTTTTAACTTTTCTTCCTAATTATGCATTTTTCTTCACAGATTTGACATTTGGTACAGGTATGGGAAGCTGATTATGAGATTATTTGTCATCAACGTTCTTTTAGCACAATTGAGTGTTTTTGTTGTTTAAAATACAGTTAAAGAGAATTTATGTGAAAAAAATGAAAAGGTGTCTGCACAGTTTTGGGTGTGTGCAGCTCATTGCTGCAGCTGTCATCCCTTTGGTTTTCATCCTTCTCCACTCAAATACGATTCCAGAGTGTCTGGTGGCCACATCCCTGATGAGAGAGTACCAATGCCTTTGCAATACTGTTTTAGTATTGGATCTTTAATTAAGAGCTAGTGTACCACTGTGAACGCCATACAACCACAGTGCATGATGGACTTACTCAGCACCATAGGATTTGGTCCTGTTGCCTAACTGCATGAGTACAGTCTTGTTAATCTCTTATTAACCAGTTCATGAACTCTGTGGTCACACAGGAAATCCAGTAGCAGGAAGATATGTCACTGTTTATACTTTACAAATAAAATATTTCCTTTGAGGAAGTAGTCAGGGTCATTGCACCAATGTAAGAAGTGACCTGGAACACTTAGAGGAGAGGTATGAACTGCCTTTCTCGATCCTGTGTTGTAACTAGTGACCCGACAGTTTACTTCTAAAAACCCAGTTCCAGAACTTGTCTTTTGAGAGGTATACTTTGTACTGATCTGTTACTTGAGATTATTGCTTTTCAGTTGATTAGGAGAAGGTTACATCATTTTAAATCTTTAAGCAGGGTAGTTTTATCACAATTTTGCTTTACTTCTCAGTTCTTCCCCTTCAATGTTGTACAGGCACCAACGTTGAGCTGCCCTTCTGTCTTCTTTTGAGTAACTCTGAATTTACGTTAGTGAAAGATGATTAGATCTGTTCTTACGGAATGCCAGATTGCTACAAAGTATGCTACTCTCACCTACTTTGCTAATTTATGCAGTTTAAATTTGTATTATTATTGGATTTGGCTAAGAGACTATCATGGATAGTTTAACAACCTGTGTATGTTTGTTTATGAAGTATTATTGATGGATACCAGTATAACAAGTTGGAATAAAGAAGAGGGAAATTATTAAAAGGTTTATTTACACAGTTTCTGTGGACCACATATAGTCATTTTGCAATCATTTTAATAAAAAGTCTATGTTAGAAGACTAAAAACCTTTTAGCATTCCTTCTATTTATGCCGCTGAAATCTCGTCATTTCAGACATTCTTTCTGGTTAAAGCAATCATAAGAAGAGGGTCTTCAGACCATGCTGACACTGTGGGTTTGTAGATGAATACTTAGTAAATCTTTGTAAAATCTCGAACACTGGCTACTTATTTTGTCTGACAGTTTGCACTGAATGTTAGTTTTCCCTGAATTTAACAGTGCTAAGAAGGGTTGACCTTTCTTTCATTAAATCTGTCTCTTATTTCCCTTTTCCAGATGCATGTGACCTTGTTCAAGATAGTGGAGAATGTCAGAATTACATTTTGAAGTGGTACTACGACAAAGAGCAGAAAATGTGTGGTCAGTTCTGGTATGGGGGCTGCGGAGGCAATAGAAATAGATTTGAAACACAAGAAGAATGTGGATTCTTGTGTATAGAGTCTTCCTAGTGCAGAGACACTTAAGTTACTTTAATTCTTCAGTTAGACTATCAGGGTGATGCGGAAAAGGGATTCAAAGAGAAGGCTTTACATAGCCACTTGGCTCCCATGTTTCAGTTGAAAGAAATACTTGATTATAAAGTTATTACCTGGTAACTTAATTGTGAAAATTAAAATTTAAGCTATTACTCCATTGATCTCATGTAACATGCTGAGTACGGAGAAATTTGTTAGCCAACAATGTATTGTTTAAAAGGCATGGAAGTATTGAAATTTGACTTTCTTCCATAAATACCAAAATGTACACTTTCGAAATATACTCCATAAAATAAAACAATACCTCAGAGATTTTCCTGAAATAACTTTGGACGCAAGACACTAATGTCAGAATGTTTTGATGTGTTTGCTTACATTTATCCTGTTTATAGAAAATACCAAAAAGCATTTAGATCTCAAATGACAGACTTCCTAGGACTTATTTCACTCTGATTTAAAGGATTTTCTACCACAGAGTCATTCTTGGTTTCTTAATTATTTTTTTCCTGAATAATCCAACATGTGAATAAAATCAATAATTCTGAAATATTATACTTCTGCTCCTAGTTCCTGAAACAGGTATAACTATTCTCACTGTGTGGCATCTCATTTGTAAATAAGCATTGGTCCCCTTTCCTTGTTACCTGATGTTAGACAAATGCATTTATTTTAGAACATTAGATTTTTATGGTTGCTCTGGAGTGGAAGAAAAGATCCTGAGGACATCATCTGATTAAAGATAATAAATACAACGCTGTGCAGGCGGGTGGAACTTATATAAACTTTCACACTCCGTTGACTTATCCAAACTTTACAGTTGCCCATTTTATGTCTGTAGAAGTCATGGTGCATTTAACTTCACCTTGGTCCACTCTGCAGAGGTGGCTGTACTCACCTGGAATTTTCTTCTCTGTATTCATCTACAAGATGATACAAGATTACATCTAGTGGCAATTTTCCTTATAGTTCTTTGGGAAAAAAAAGAAGAATATTAAACTGGAAGAAGAGCTATAAAAATGATGCAGAAAATATTTCCTACTGGTGAAATAAAGTGAAAAAAATTATATATATTTTATATCTGAGGATGGATACCGCTGGATATAAAGCACTATCACACAAGTTATCCATGGATGTGAAACATGCACTGCAATTAAGCAAACCGAGCGGATAAATCCCCTCTGGTATGGAGGACAATGACTGAAATAAAAGTATGGAGAGACGTGGGAGATTGACCATATCACACTCCCTCAAACCCGTGACGGCAAGTGCCATGTGCTTACAATGCTTACAATGGTGGAAGCAACCACCAGAGGTCTGGAAACATATCCTGTGCCCCATGCCATGGCCTGGAACACTGTCCTGGGCATTGAAAAGCAAGTCTTACAGCAACATGGTACTCCAGCAAGAAAGAACAGAACTCATTTCCAGAACAACCTCATAGACATTTGGACCACAGAACATGGCATTTGAGTGGGTATATCACGTTCCCTGTCATGCACCAGCCTCTGGAAAGATCGAACAATGTAAGAGACTGTTAAAGACTACACCAAGAGCAATGGGTGGTGGGACCCCTGAACATTGGGATACACATTTAGCAAAGACCACATGGTTAGTCAGCACTAGGGAATCTGCCAGTCAGACTGACCCTGATGAATCAAAACTTTTACATACTATAGAGGAGGATAGAATTCCTGTAGTGCATATTGAAAACGTGCTGGGGAAAGCTGAGTGGGTTATTCCTAACTCAGGCAAAGGCAAACCCATTCTATGCTAGCCCCAGCAACTGGAAAGGACTGTCATGGTTTAACCTCAACCAGCAACTAAGCCCCACACAACTGGGGAAGGGAATAGGAAGAGTAAAAGGGAGAAAACTCAAGCCTTGAGGCAAAGGCATTTTAATAGATAAAGCAAAAACCATGCACACAAGGAAAGCAAAACAAGGAATTAATTCAACATGTTCCACTGGCAGGCAGGTATTCAGCCATCCCCGGGGAAAGCAGGGCTACATCATATGTAATGTTTACTTGGGAAGATAAACATCACTCTGAACATTTACCCCTTCATTCCTCACCAGCTTTAGATGCTGAGCATGATGCCATGCAGTATGGAGTATCCCTTGAGTCAGTGGGAGTGAGCTGTCCCATCTGTACCCTCCCACCTTGTGCCCCTCCAACCTTCTTGATAGTGGGGTGGGGTGAGAGACAGAAAGTGCCTTGACTCCATGCAAGTACTGCTCAGCAATAATGAAAACATTCCTGAATTTTTGACACTGTTTCCAGCACAAACCCAAATAAACCTCTGTTCCAGCCATTGAAAAGAAAATTACACTTTACCCCAGCCAACTCCAACTCCAGCACATTCTCCACCCCTACAGGCAGTGGGTTGACCATGGCTGGATGCCAGATGCCCACCAAAGCCACTCTGTCACTCCCCTCCTCGGCTGGACATGGGAGAGAAAATAAAAGGAAAGGCTCGTGGATTGAGATAAGGACGGGGAAAGATCACTCAGTAAATTTGTCACAGCAAAACTGTCTCTATTTGGGGAAAGTAATTGAATTTATTACCAGCCAAATCAGAGTAGGACAATGAAAAATAAAACCATCTCTTAAAACACTTTTCCCTCACCCTTTCCTCCTTTCCAGGCTTAACTTTATTCTTGAGTTCTCTACCTCCTCCTCCTCCCCCTGAGCAGGATAGTGGGATGGGGAATGGCAGTTTTGGTCAATTCATCACACACTGTCTCTGCTGCTCCTTCCTTCTCAGGGGAAGGACTCATGCTCTTTCCCTGCTCCAGTGTGGATTCCCTTGCACAGGGTGCAGTCCTTTGAGAACAGGCTGCTCCAGCATGGGATCTCTGTAGAGTTACAAGTCCTGCCAGCAAACCTTCTTCAGCATGGACTCCTCTCTCCATGGGGCCACAGGTCCTGCCAGGAGCCTGCTCCAGCATGGGTTTCCCACAGAGTTACAGCTTCCCTGGGGTATCCACATGCTCCAGTGGGCAGTACTCCAGAGGCTGCAAATTTTAATTGCTATGATACAGTTGTCATCTGTATCGTACAGCCATTCTTGCCCATCTCTCCTCTTCCCCTCAGCTAGGCCAAATCTCTGAGCATATAGTGTTACTATAAGAATCTGGTAGCGGTCTATGATAGTTCTGTAAAGGTTGATAATTTCATGCTTGGATAATCATAGTCCAGATCTTGGTCAGGCCTGTCAAGTGAAGGCACTGTCCAAGCCCCTGAAGATTGTGCTAATGTTGTTGTATCAGGCTGTCCATCAATGACAAATCCAAGAATTTTCATGAACTGAGAAGCTGATTTGATAGAGTAACACCATACTAGGGTCTTTAGTCAAAAGGGGTTTCTCTGCAGATGTAAGTTCATCCAGGTGTCACCTTCTGTTCATTGGTATCACCTTTACTTTGTACAAGGTCAGTATTCCGTAACTGTCTGTTTTACCTTCCCAAGCTGACCTTTGTGCTCTTTTCTACATGGTTAGCTCTCCGCTCTAGGGACCTGCTCTTTCTCATGAGACAGAAGAAGAGAGAAGGAAGAGTCGAAACAGTCTCTGAACCCTACAGCAAGTTTTTTGGCAGCCCCCTAGCAGTGCTCATCTCCAACAACTCTGCAGGACGGTCTGTTAGTGGGTGCACATCACTGTGTCTCTCACTTGAAGCCAAAGGAAAGATCTCAATGACTTTATAGGCAGCTAGCCTAAGTCCAACTCACATCAAACCTCAATGCACCTGCTGGATAATTGACACCTTTGTCATCTACATCCACTGTTTTCTGGGGTCAAGTAGTGCAGTGAAGCATTTTGCGTGAACCATTTCTGTCCAGACTGCTTTCTTTCTGTGTGAATGCATGTTTCATGCTCCAGGAATGCCTGTCAGCGGTTTTTAAAATCTTAAGGAAAATCTAGGATTACTTACTTCCAAATCCCATTCCCTGCTTTTTGATAAATAAATAAATTAAAAAAAAAATCTTATTGCTAGCTCTAAAGTGTGTCTAATGGAAGATCATTTCAGTTTCATTTGAAAAATTCAGTGTTTGATTGTGAAAAACAGGGACAGTTTGATGTCTTTCCTTGAATTAAAACATTTGTTAGATAGGAACTGTGTATTAAACCTTTCCAGATGTTTATTGCTAGCTTGTAAAAATAGCTGAGAACACATGAAAAACTAATTAACTTAGATCTACAGCAAGGGAGGACAAGGGTTTACTGTAACAGTGTTGTGAAGGAAAACACCAAGTGTTCTCTAGAGGAATCTAAGGAAGAGATACGATGTAATTCCTCTTCTTTAATTAGTTTTTCTTGGCTAATTTAATCCACAGCTTTAAATTCTGAGATTCTCTTATCTTTACACTTTCAGTGACAAGAAGTGCCTTGGTTGCCACAGAATTCCCAAGGCAAGGCAGAGCTAGCAGCCACGGCTCCAAGAAAGGGTGTGTCTGAAGGGCTATCAAGAGCCAACTCTCTAGATAATAAGTGTTGAAATTCAGGACTTCCAGCACTGGCAAAGATGTTCTGTTGCAATTATCCTATCACTGTTTTGGTCCTGCCTCCTTATCTCAGCTGTGCCTAAATTAACCCCCAGCGTCTCTAATGGAGTGCAGTAGACTCTGCCAGAGTGCTTAGATCAGCAGAGCCTGAGCTCATAAGGAATTTAAGTACTTGGCTGTAGCCTTGCTGGTGTTTTAAAAGAGTTACTGGTTTTATGCCCAGAAATATTGCATTGCAGTAGTTTACACTGACAATTATTTCCGAATCACTTGTGTTTTTATACATACATGTTTAGTAAATAACATACTAACAATCCTGAAAAAGAAATGAATTGTTGCAGAAAGTATTCTGTCATCAGTAGACTTATAGGAACAGATTCTTCTTCTCAGCTAAAATAAGTTCAGATAAATCAAACTTCAGAATGCAGTCTTGCTCCCACTAAAATTGGTGGAACTTGAATCATCTCTTAAT